CATCGTCCCGCCCACTAGCGCCAGCCCCACCCACATCGTCCCGCCCACTAGCGCCAGCCCCACCCACATCGTCCCGCCCACTAGCGCCAGCCCCACCCACATCGTCCCGCCCACTAGCGCCAGCCCCACCCACCTTATTCCTGCCGGTGCCCAAGTTGCCTCTGCCTCCTTCTCCTCACCAATACCCCAGCTCCCCCTGGCCTCCCTCATTGCTTCCTTCTCACTTACTGTCTCCTTTCTCATAGCTCAAACCCCTCTTCAAGAATAGCAGTCTGGGATTCCTCTATTCAGGCTGCAGACTAGCCTCGCTCAGGTGAGACTCTCCCCGAGAACACAGCCCAGCAGGTGTACGCGACCCTCACCTGCGGGCTCCCTGACTTTGTCCAGCCTTGGGACAGCTACCGCCATGGGTACTGCACGTCACCACCAACAATACCAGTCACAGCAGCTAGCAGTTCCTAAGCGCCGAGGCACCGTGCCAGTCCTTTATATTCCACCTGCCGGTCCTCACAACAGCCTTGTGAAGCGGGACCGAAGCTGAGACAGGCCCTGAGGGATCGAGTAGTTCGTGCGGGCCGCACAGAGCAGCCCCAGCACTGCGGGGTCTAGGGACAAACCCCCGCTCTTACGCCGCACTGCCTCCCCTGCCTCATCTGACCTCGCACATGTGGAAAACACCAATCTGGCAACCTCTAAGAGGGGAGAATCCGAAAGGGAAGGAAAGCGAGCACACGGTTACAGAGAGAGCGTGTGCCCCTAAATGGGCAGACTCAGCTGAAGCAGCCTGCCCCGCCCGGGGAGGCTGGGGCTGGGGAAGACCCCCCTCGGGTGCGGCTGGGGTGGCGGTTGGTTGACACTGCTTCACACCTGGCATTCTCACTTCCCAAATCTCTCTAGGGCTGGGGGTCCTCAGATTCCCGTTTTATCACAGGCATCTACCTCCGGCTCCCCTTCCTTCCTGGGGGAAGAGCCGGCAGAGGAAGGAGCCTTAGTGGCCAAGAGCCTTGGTAAAGCCAGAGCAGCGTTCATTTACTGAGATCCTAGGCAGGCGATGGAACCTTGCTGTGCCTTGTTACTCCGTGTGTTATGCATGACATATTAGCCTATACATAATGTTTGTATGCTAATATCAATACCTATATTAATATCTATATCTATACATTATGTATACTAATATCGGTACTTATATTACTATCTATATCTATACATAATGTATGTATACTAATATCGATACCTATATTAATATCTATTCATAATATAAGTATACCAATATCTATATCTATATGAAGAGAGAGAGTTGACCCTTAACAGCACAGGTTTGAACTGCATGCATCCACTTATACATGGATTTTTAAAAATAAATACAGTTCAGTGCGAAACGTATTTTCTCTTAAAATTTTCTTAATAACAATTTCTTTTCTCTAACTTACTTTATTATAAGTATATAATGCCTATAATGTAAAAAATATATGTTAATTGTTTATGTTATCAGTAAGGCTTCTGGTCAACAGCAATCTATTAGTTATGTTTTGGGGGAGTCAAAAGTTATATACAGATATTCCACTGTGTTGAAACCCCTCTAAACTCCATTTGTTCAAAAGTCAACCGTATATATAAATATATGCATGCACATATATATAGAGAGAGAGATAGAGAGAGAGAATAGGTATAATTATACACCCATTATATCTATACCTAATATATATATTATACTTATATGTAATATATAACTACATATATATCATGTATAGATACACTAGGTATAACATATATAAGTACACCTATACTTTATATGTCCATACATATGGACATAATAGGTATGTTATATATAGGTACCATTTCCAATACATATGATATATATAGGTGTAATCTCTAATATATTATACAATATATATCACCTAATATATATTTTAGACGTAGGTATAATATGTAATTATACCTATACTTTATATATATAGGTTTGTGTTATATATTTTATATATAGGTATAATAGGTTTATTATATATAGGTATAATACCTTATATAGATATATATAGGTATAATCCCTAATATATATTACAGATTAATATAGAAGGTATATATAATACAATAATAAACAAAATATAAAACAAATATATAACAAATATATATCATATACTTATATTCTAAATATATGATGACATTATATATCATATTCGTATTATGTATGATTGTGTCATGCATGATATACAGTATGATGGCTATAATAACAACTGTGGGAGTTGAGGAATACAGCGCGTGTGATCACGAGTACCCAGTGCCGAGCCGCTGCGTGCTAAGAATTTAACAGGGGTGGTTGTTGTTATGAGAGAGATTCTATCCATGGCCCTCAGGTGTGGGAGTGCCTTTCTCTCCATCTCACTCAGTAGCATGTGGCTGGGTGGGTCAGTGGGTGGGTCAGCGTCCTGTGACTGGAGACTGTCATGCTTTCCAACAGACCCACCACAAGGGCATGTCTCTCCAGCCATTTAGTCCCTTCGGTCTTTAGGAATGTCCTCGCCCTGCTTCTAGACCGAGTGACTTTAGCTTTTTGACCTCACCAGTGAAAATCCTAACTTTCTGCAGGAAAATGTCACCAAGCCATGCTGTGGTCACTTGCCCTGGGGCTACAGTCAGCCATTACACCGTGACCCTAGGCACCTTGTTGTGCCCGTCAAGAACTGTGACACGATGTGGCTGTTGTGGCTTCATTGGCATCTGCCAGGGTTGCTCACTCCAACAGTCCCCTCTGTGCATCGGCCACACACCCCGTGCTTTCAGAGGCTTCTCTCCCAGGCGTGCAGGAGGCTTCCGCCTGTGGTGTGCCAGTTCTTCGTTTACGGAGGGCGTCTCCCTGATGCAGCAGCTCTTGTTAACTAGGGTGTCCCAAGTTTCTGCCTTCGAGGACAGCAAGGGGAGAGAGGGAAGGACCAACAGATAGAGAAGACAGTTGGACCAACTATGTGGTGATTCTTACCCAGGCCTGAGCAGGACGGGGCAGCCACCAGAGTGGATGCTATCTGCCTGCATCGCCCCGACACTACCGGCCCTGGACTGGACAGAGAGAAGCTGTACTGGGAGCTGAGCCAGCTGACCCATGGCATTGCCTTGCTGGGCCACTACACCCTGGACAGGAACAGTCTCTGTGTCAACGGTGAGCCCCTGTGATGTGATCGGAGTCTCTTCCCCCTCACGGGGCAGCCTCTGCCCTGTGGCTTGAGAATGCATGGCCCGTCTGGCCCTTAGGGATTTGGCCCCGTGCACTGGATGTGCTGATTCAGGTCTGGACCTCATGGTTTCCTCTTCTTCGTCTTGGACTGACCTCACCCTCACAGCCTTCTTTCCTGGCTGTGCTGATGGAGAATCCCCAGCAGTGCTCCCTACTGGAACCCCCTCCACTGCCTGGCCTCCTGCTTGGTCCCCCACCTCTCCCTTGACCCTGACCCACTATCGTGCCTCCCTCTTCCTACAGGCTTCACCCATCAGAGCTCTGCATCCACCACCAGCAGTGAGTATTCAGCTGATGTCCCAGGCCCCCCCCACCCCCCACAGGGAAGGCAAAGAGCTGACACCTCTTTGTGGTCGCTTAGGTCCTCCCCAGGAAGGACGGAGCTCCTGGGAGAGCACGAGTTATTTGCTCTCCTCTCTGCCCCACTTACGGAGGGAATCCCAGCCCAAGCCCTACATGCAGCAAGCCTAGTGAATTGTCTCTGTCGCTGGCATTTCTGCCATGTGCTCGCCTTTCTGCCTTTACTAATAAGGGCTTTTCCTCGGCTTTAGGGACCTCCACAGTGGACCTGGGAGCTTCTGGAACTCCATCCACCTTCCCCAGCCCCACAGGTAAGTGCCATCCGATGGCAGATCTGTTAGAGAGTGCCTGGTGAGTGTAAACACACCTGACATTATTCACTCAAATAAAGACGGAAAGTTATAGTAAATGTAGTGATAATGAGTCAATTGACAACCTATTGAGCTCCTACTCTGTGCCAGGCCCCGGGAAATACAACAGGGAACACAACACAGAAAAAAATCATTGCCCTCATAAAGCTTATATTCTTTTTTTAAAAGTCTATTTATTTATTTTGAGAGAGAGAGAGAGCAAGTGGGGGAGGGACAGAGAGAGAGAGAGAGAGAGAGAGAGAGAGAGAATCCCAAGCAGGCTCTGCAGTATCAGCACAGAGTCTGATGTGGGGCTCAAACCCACAAACTGTGAGATCATGACCTGAGCCAAAGTCAGACACTTAACTGATGAGCCACCCAGGCGCCCCGCAATGACATTGATTTTTAAAGACGACAGAACAGGGGAGCCTGGGTGGCTGGTGGCTCAGTCGGTTAATGCCTGACTTCAGCTTAGGCCATGATGTCATGGTTTGTGGGTCCAAGCCCTGCATCAGGCTCTGTGCTGACAGCTCAGAGCCTGGAGCCTGCTTCAGGTTCTGTGTCTCCTTCTCTCTCTGCCCCTCCCCTGCTCTCTCTCTGTCTCTGTCTCTGTCTGTCTCTCTCAAAAGTAAACATTTTTTAAAAAATTTAAAACGACAAAAGAACAGAAGCTGGTTTTGCCTGCTTTCTTTAAATAAACTTTTGAATAAAGATATACTTAAGAGGAATTATTCATAAAATAAGTCTTATTAAATGAGTTAATTGGGGGGAAAATTGTTAGCTGGCAAATTGTTCCTCAGGCAAATTTTCAAACATTGAAGGCTGAACCTGTCTGGGATGGTCTTCAAAGGTGCCCTGCTGGGAGAAAGAAACTGGCTGGAGCCAAGACGGTCTTAGGGTCCTTAGCTCTTGGTTTCTCACCTGGTCTCATGCTGGTCTGACGTTCTAAACCCCAGCTTAGACGCGTTTTGAGGGATTTGGGGGGTTGAGCAAAGAAAAAGATATGACCACTAGATGGCAGTAGCACACACACAAACGTGGGTGGGCAGCGCCCGGTTTGCCCGCAGGGGAGGAACCTCAGCGCTGACATCTTTAAGAAGCTATGCCATGGGGACCCCTACTCAAAAGGGGAGAAGGGCAAGGGAACCCCCTGGGGAGGGCAGCGGTCAGAGAAGACATTCTCATTGTCTAGTCACGTCACTCGTCACTTGGCAGCCTGGTGGGGCGTCTCTGGGTTAGATAGCCCTGGTGGGCAGCCGTGGCTACGCTCTTTGCAGCCACAGGGGTGGTCCTTATACAGCTCTAAGATGTTGGGTGTTGTTTCAGGGGGTAAGCAAAGCAGGCAGGCTCAAGGTGGCTGAAATCTGCCTGTTTGGGCTGTGTTTAAAACAACTGGATATAAAAAAAAATTGAGTTTGGTCCTGGCAAGCTTCTGAGCTCATGGGTTACCAGCCTGCTGTGAAGAATTAAATACCCTACGGGCTAATAGGCAGGCACCTTCCCCGGCTCATTATGAAACACCCAGACACCACCATCCTCAGTTTCCATAGGTGGCCAAAGCTGGGGACCATGTAAAATAGAGCATGCCACTGCCTCCACTCCCCACCCCCACTCATCTCCAGTCTCAGATGAACACGGAGCGATACCCAAAAGGTCGCAGGTGAGGGCAGCCTCTCTCTGGCATCTCTAGGATGTAGAGTCCTCTGAGCAGGCTAGGGTTGTGTTTCCCAGTGGTCCAGACCTGACTCAGCACGTGGCTTCTTCTCCTCCTTCCCCACTGCAGCAGCCGGTCCTGCTCCAGTGCCCTTTACCCTCAATTTTACCATCATCAACCTGCCCTACACAAAGGACATGTGGCCGAGCTCTGCCAAGTTCAACTCCACAGAGTCAATTCTACAACGCCTGGTGAGAACTGCCTGCAACCCATCCCTCTCTTCCAACGCCCTCCCAACCCTCTTTGAGTCTCCTTACTACACTTTTGGAGGCTACGGAGGGGAAGACAGTTTCTAGGTTCAAAACGTGGAATGGCCACAGAGAAGTGATGTCCCTTCGGAGCAGTGATCGTGCCCTTCGGTACCATTTCCTCCTCTGTAAAACTAAGATCATAAAAGCATTGATCCCAAAGTGTTCTTCTGAGAATTAAATGTTGTGTTGAGATGATTAGGGAGCTGCTGTTTTGTTTTAACGTGTTGTTTTAAAATGACGGTGACTTTTACATCTATTTTTCATTCGCCCGCTTCTTCCTTCCCAGCTCAAGCCCTTGTTTGCCAACAGCAGCATTGGCTCGCTCTACATTGGCTGCAGAGTGACCACACTAAGGTGCGACCTCTTCCTTCCCTTGCCTTAGGGGGTGTGTAGTAAGGGACAGGCTGGTTGGGCCGACCAGGGCCTGGACTAGGGAGGCAAGTGAGATGCCGAGGGCACAACATTTAAGGAGGCGCTCACCCTCAGGTGCCCACCCTACGTTTGCACTGCTCTGAGAGTCAGCATTCCCTTAAATGTTGTATCCAGGCACCTTGCATGTCTCACACGGTTCCCAGCTCTGGTGCCAGCCCTCTCTGGGTCATCTTCAATCCCATCCGATAATCAGACTTGCAAGACCTGAATAGGTCACACACGGACGAAATGGCATGCCAGCACGGCAAGCATTGGGCCTTTTGTTTTTGTAAGGACCTTCTTGGAAGTCCAAGGACGATTCTTTTGGAATCCACGTGACAGTTAATGTGCAAAGAAATGTAACTTCAGTGGGTAGGAGATGGAGCCACCTTGGCTCACGTGTTCCATGTCCCAAAAGGTAACCAGTATCTCTCATAACAGCCCCGACAAGTTAAGACGTTTACCATGCCTGAGGAAGCCCAAAGCTATAGCTTCCTGTCAGGTATTGTTGTCCATTTTCAGCCCTCTCAGAAAAGGTGTAGGTCATCAACAAGGGGTCATTGTCACCATGAGCAGCATCACTGGGAAACACAGTTGACATTGCACCTTTATCAAGTTTCTAGGAGACCAGAGCTGGAAGTAGCTTAGGTCAAGGTCACCTCCATTCTGTTGAGGTGCAAGGGATACTCTGTTTCTCCCCAGTAATGCTCTCTGGCAGTGCTAGCTGCTCTTCAGGGTTAATTTTTCCTGCTGCCTTCCCCAGGGAGCTGGGAATACGAGAAGCAGGTGGACATTGGGTAGGGGGTCTTCCCCATGCAGCATCTCATGCTCAGATGCTCGGCTCCAAAAGTTGGGTTGGCTCAGCTTTCTGAGAGCTGATGAATCTGCTCACAGCTGCTATCCAGTGCTCAGGACTGTACATGCCTGGTTCTGTGAATATCTGTTAAACAATTAAACAGCTAATTAATGAGTATCTGGCACCAAAGGTATATATCAGTATCATTTCCAAACCCCATGACATTCTCACAAAAGGATTAGAGTGTTATCCACGCTGCAAAGATGGAAGAACTGAGTTAGACCCACTTCTGTGGATTACCCGACAAGTGACAGAGCCAGGGTTGGAAACAATGGTCATCTGACTCTAAAGCGCCCACTCTGGCCCTTTGTTGCTCAGAGATGCCCCTTCTCTCAGGAGCAGCTCCTGTTTGGACCAAGAGAGCAGAGAAGCAGGCATTCACCAAAAGTGGGCCTATACAATGATGTCCTGCCTGGGATGCCACTCTGTCCTGTGCCCATGCCCAGGTCCTTCTCTCCCCAGGCCCGAAAAGGGTGGAACAGCCACTGGAGTTGATGCTGTCTGCACCTACCGACCTGACCCTTCCGGTCTCCAGCTGGACAGGGAGCGGCTCTACTGGGAACTGAGCCACCAGACCCATGGTGTCACCCAGCTCGGTTTCTACATCCTGGACAGGGACCGTCTCTATGTCAACGGTGAGCATCTGGTGGTGACAGGGGTCTCCTCCTGCACCCCAGGTGGATTATTCTGTTGGTGCCCTGAGCTCTGGCCAGAGAACACATCCCTGTCTGCCTCTAGACTCCTCTCTCGTCATTCCTCTTTTCCTTGTGAGATCCTCCTTCCCCACCAAGGGCGACATCACACACAGGGAGGTGGAGAGTCAGAGAAAGTTATAGGAGGCACCACCCACTGTCTGGAAGGGACACGACCTCCTGATGACATCTGGTCTTCCAGCAGTGGCCCAGCCCCTTCATCCTTTGCTTCAGCTTTTCAAACATCCCACCTCTCTCTCATCCGCTCTCCGCAGGTTACACCAGCCCACCACTGACTGCCATCCCCAGTGGTAAGTGCTCAAACCCTACATGGCCCAATGCCCCCACACCTTGTGGGAACATCTGCTGCCTCTCCCCTAAGCCCAGGGCCTCATGGAGGAAGGAATTCTTGGGAGCCTGGTCACCCATCTACTGTCTACCTTCTGTGACTCACATTGGGCATTAAGGGCCCCTCTCTGTGGCATCTCCAAGGTGATAAGGCTGCATCTTTCTTATTTCTGCTGCTTCCTCCTCAGTTCCTGTGATTTCCACACCCCCAGGAACCTCAGCAGCTCCAGTCTCCTTCTCCAGCTCTACAGGTAAGAGCCTTCTCTCCATGTCTCCTTCCTTCCCACCCACATGCCTCTGTGCTGAGCAATGAGAAGGGCAAAAGAGGAAATGTAGGCAGGTCAAAATAAGGGGACGCTGTGGGGAGGATGATCTTTGGGACCATGCGTTTGTAATAGACCAGGCCAGCTCCATCCCTAGGTTTGGAGAGCTCTGTAACTGGGTTTTCAATCCCAAGCTAAAGCAGTAACTCCTTTTAATCCACTCTTTGCTTTCTGTGAAGGTGCTGTATCAGCTACATTACTGCGTAACAAATGACCCTCAAATTTATTGGATTAAAACAATCACATACTACTCTGCTCTGTAGTATATAGGTCAGCAGGATAGTTCGTTGGGTCTGAACTAGGCTCCCTTATGTGTCTGTAGTCACCTGCAGGTGAGCTAGGTGACTCTGCTTCTGGAAGATGCCTGACTGATGGCTGGGGTGCCTCAGTTACCTTCATGTGGCCTCTCATCATCCCATAGACTAGCTGTGGCTTCTTCATATGGTGATCATGGACTTCCTAGAAGCAAGAGAGGGCGAGCCTCAGTGCACAGGCACTTCTCAAGCTTCTGGTTGCATCACGTTTCTCTTGCCCCATTGGCCAAAGCAAGTCATGGCCAAAGTCAAGAGGTGGAGAAATAGACTCCCACCTCTTGGTGAAAGGGCCTTGTGCCACTCTGCAAGGATGCAGATGCATGGAGGTGAAGAACTTGTGCTCACTTTTACAGTCTACCTCAGGTGACCTGCCAGGGACCAACCTGTGACCATGTTGGCCTTCGGGGACCCATGGGGAGTCAGTTGGTAAGATTAGGGCAGTGGTACATTCTGGAACAACTCTCAAAGCTTTATCTTCTGCTAAATGGAATGGAAATAGTCATGGGCAAATCCAGGACTAATTCCCAAAGGCCAGAGACTAAAGCAGAGAAAGCAGATGTAAGTGGCAGCAGCAACAATGTGCACAAAGCAATGACAGCACCATTCATTGCTTGTCTGTCACATCATGCAGACTCAGCTTTACACGTACGGTCTTTGACCCCAGCAGACGGGTACTGCTCTTTCTCTGTTTAAGAGAGGCATAGACTGGTTCTGGGGGGGGCTGAGTGTTTTTCTGAGATCACACGGGCAGCAGATGGGCAGGACTCATGTTTAAGTCATTCAAACTCTAGAATTTGCGCTGTGTGGCTTTAGGGAAGTGACTTAACTTCTCCAAAATGTGTTTTTATCCTCTGTCAACTGGGAATAAGTAAAAGGATTCACTTCCAGGGTTTTTTTGAGGACTGCAAAAGATACTGGATGGAAAGTTCTTAGCACAGAGAAGCTGTTACCAAACATCAGCTAGTATGATTGCTTTTATTTTTGTTGTCATTAATGTCATTGCTACTAGTAGAATAACAAAATAAGGTCTCCCTTTTGGGGAGGAGATCTTCTGAGCTCTTAAACCAGATGTGAACATACTGGACACCAGGGATGCGAATCCAGACTCTACCCCACCTTCCCTGAATCCAGCTTAGACAGTGACTCAGGGCATGCCTTTTCTCCCAACCTCACTGCAGTTTCTGGCCATGCTCTGGTTCCATTCACCCTTAACTTCACCATCACCAACCTGCGCTACACAGAGGACATGCAGTTTATGAGTTCAGCCAAGTTCAACAAAATAGAGAAGGTCTTGCAGAGCCTGGTAAGAGCCCCACCCACCTCACTCCTGCACCACCTGCTGATGCCCACCTACCCACTGACCCCAGCCTCACCCACCTCTCCCCACCCTCCCTCAACGGATGCCATCCCCATCCAGCTTGCCCAACCCTGCTCTTGTTGAACTCAGACCTTCTACTCACCTCCCTCTCCTTCAACAGCTCGGACCCTTATTCAAGAATACCAGTGTCGGCCCCCTCTACTCTGGCTGCAGACTGACCTCGCTCAGGTGGGACCCCCAGAGAAAATGGCCCACTGAGGCACCGTGGGGATTCTTACCATGGTCCTCTAAGGCTTGGTCCTCACTTTGGCCTCAGCCCTTTCCAGCTCCCAACGGGGGGTGACCGCTGTCCTTTGGGCTGCTGCTCTGGACCCTCCCATCCTCCTGAGCCTCAGATCTCCCAGGCAATATTTAATGGGAACAAAATGACAAGACATAGTGACTGGAAAGTATGCACTGAATTTCTTCATAAAGGACCCATCCCTGATCCTTCACAAAGGCTATGATCCCCAGTCTACCATGTCCACGCTGCATGCAGAGATTTCTGAAGGCTAACCCACAGCAAATACTTAGCCAGACATTGGAGTTCTTGGTGTATGGTCACTATTGACATTCTGGGCCGGAGAGTTCTTGTCATGGGTGGCTGTCCTCTGCTCTGTAGGATATTTAGCAGCATCTTGGCTACGCGACAGATGCCTATAGTAGCCCAACCCCAAAGTAGTGACGGACAAATCTGTCACCAGACATTGCCAAATGACCCTTGAGATGCAGAGCACCCCAGGTTAGAGTCACTGGGCAAGAGGCTTCCTGTCCATCATCTCCCTGGACTTTGTTAACGTCATTACTATTACCCTGATTTTACAGATGGGAAACCAAGACACAGAAAGGTCAAGGAGCTTTCCCAGAGCCAGTGGCTGTCACATAGTGGAGCCAGGATTCAAGGCCAGCCTCCTCAGAGTCCATACCGGCTCCCACTAAGCCTGCGGTGCTTCCGTTCTTTGGGAAGGACCATGGGCTCTCCCCTCCCCCAGAATCCCAGCCTTCCATCCCCTGCTCCCTTCCAGGGCAGAGATGTGCAACTCGGCCCCCCTTCACCAAGTGATGGGCCTTCTGAGCAGAGTGGGCCTCTCCATTCCGAGGTCCCCTGGAGGGTTGAGCCTCAGTGGGCATCCCCCCAGGGTATCTGCTTGCCTCCAAAAATAGAATTTGAGAAAGGATTCCCTCCCTGTGGTGCTAGGATAGAGCAGGATGGAATGAAGCCCTCTTGCTTGGGGTCTAGCCCAGGGTGCTGATGTTCCCATAGCAGAAATGTCCTCTCCACTCCCCTGGCCTGGAGTTCCACAAATTTTCTTCCCATCCACAAGCACTGCTTGAGCACCTACTGTGTCCAAGCTCCATGCTGAGCTCTGAAATCTCCATGGAGGCCAAAGCATAGACTCTTCCATCAAGAAGAGGGTACTGCATTAATAATATGTAAACGTATGCAGACGTATGCATACACATTTACTATATGTAATTATTATATGTGAATTATGTAATTAAGTATATAAAAACATATACTTTAATGGTGAATAAAATAATAGTGCCAGATACTCCCTTAGCACTTAGGGATGTACCAGATATTACTGTAAGCATCAGACTTAATGCTCACAAGACACACCTGGGTACCATGATGACACCCATTTTATAGGTGAGAGACTGAGGCCCAGAGAGACTGTTGAAGTGCTAGGAGATGGGCAGTGTAGCAGGTCTAGGAGGAACTGAAGTGGCAGCTCACACCTGGGGAGGAGGACTTGATGGCCAGGAGACACAGCTCTGGGCCAGGAGAAGTGATTCAGGGAGAGGGAACCACAGGTGAGAGCCTGAGGTAGCGAGCATGCGGAGCAGACATTCTCACCTGCGGGGGCGGGGGGGGAGGCAGAGAGATGTGCAGGGCAGCCTGGATGCCACCATGTGCGCGTTGGGGCAGCGCGGGAGGGGGGGTGCTCATCCACAGGCAGTAGGGAGCCAGAAGGATTCAGCAAATTCCCAAGAAAGGAAGATTCCCATTTTAAGTGAGACTTGGCAGTGTGATGACGGCAGAGCATAAAACACAGAGGGGCCAGACTCACAAGGTGGCCCTGGAAGGAATGTGGAGCGAATTCCTTCAGTGTGGATGATGAGCATCCGGGGGAGGGCTGTTGGCTGGGGCCCCGTCGCCTCCTAGCTTTCCCCACGGTGCCTCCGTATTGGTACCCCTCGGGGGCCCTTCGCTGATGAATCTTCACCATCTGCACCTCTGTGTCCTGCCCTCCCCAGGCCCGAGAAGGCTGGAGCAGCCACCAGCGTCAGCGCCATCTGCTCCTACCGCCCCCACCCTGCGGGCCACGGGCTAGACAGAGAGAAGCTGTACTGGGAGCTGAGCCGGCTGACCCGTGGTGTCACCAGGCTGGGCCACTACACCCTGGAGCAGGACAGCCTCTGTGTCAGTGGTGAGCAGCAGCCACCTGCACTTTGCCGAGCTGTCAAGCTCACGTTTCCTGCCCCCACCCCCACCCCAGGGCTTCTCCACCTCAGCACCTCCCCTCTGTCTTGCCCTCTCTCCGCAGGCTACACCCACCAGACACCAGTAACTGCGCCCAGTGGTGAGTACTCATGGGTCTTCAGGAGGTGCCCCCCGCCCCGCACCTACCAGGGAAGGAAGCAGCCGGCCCCGCTCACGCCTCCAGCTGTCAGGGAGGGAAGAGATCAGGGACACGGGCTGGGAAGTCATTGTAGCAAGCCTCAGCTGGGCATCACCTCTGTGCTGTTGGCTGGACGCACAGAAGTGGCCCCCACGTGGTGGTCAGGTGGATGGAAGAAAGTGCCTGAACATGGGCTTGAATAAATAAGAATGTGAATTGTCTCCTTCAAATCATGCCCACCTTCACCTGCATCATGTGATGGTCTCATGTCCACACTGGTGATTCTGGCATTAGGTGCCCAAGGACCCTTAGCACTTGCCACAGTCCCCGGTGAGACAGCTGCTGTTCCCAGGCCCTGCCCAGTATCCATCCCAGGCCTGACAGCGTGGCCTCTCCTCTCCCTCCCCTGCTGCAGCCACGGGACAACCCCTTGTGCCTTTCACCCTCAACTTCACCGTCACCAGCCTACGCTACACCGAGGACATGCAGCCTCCTGGATCCTTGAAGTTTAACACCACGGAGAAGTCCCTGCAGCGCCAGGTGAGAGCCCCGCCCACCTCGTCTTCTTCCTGCATTCTGAAGCCAGCCCCGCCCACTCCTGCCCCACCCCCCCCCCCCCCCCCCCGGAGCTAGCCCCTCCCACCTCACTCTCACCCACCACTCCCCACCTATACCCATCGTGCCCCTGCAACACAGACCATCCGTTAAGTTCCCTTGCCCTCACCCACAGCTCGGACCCTTGTTCAAGAACACGAGTGTGGGCCCCCTGTTCGCAGGCTGCAGACTGACCTTGCTCAGGTGAGACCTCGCAATCCCCGGCCGGGGCTGCCTGGAGCGCTGCCAGAGCCCAGGAGTTCCCTCCGCCTCCTTCCTGCCCTCTCTGTCCATGTCTTCAGCAGAGGTGGAATTCAGGAGTCACTGGCTCCAGGACCAAGGCGTCTTCTGATTGTACCCCCCCCCCCCGCCCCCGAGCTGTTCCCAGATTTTGCAGAGCCCCTCAGTAGAATGGGGACCCTAGTCGGGTCATCCTTCTGAATTCCCTCCTGTCTCCTTTTGGCCAAAGAGCGCATTTCCTCGAGGTTTTCAGCTCTAGCCTCAGGATTCCTCTCAAGGCAAGCATGCCTTTTCCTCTTCCCTTAATCCCCGGTTCCAGCTCCTCACCCGTCTCCAGTGGAAGCTCTCCTGACCCCATGCCGGGAGGCTGCGGGTCGCAGACCTGCAATGTAATAAATATCCTCCCACCCACTCACTGTGTGCACAGTCCCAGGCTGGCCAGAGGTGGGGTCCAGCCTTCTTACTTCCCCGGGCCCCTTCCTGTCCTGCCCCACGGACCCCAGGAGTCCTGCCTGGGGACCCCATCTACTGTTACCCGTACCCCCCCCCACCCCGTCCCCAGGCCTGAGAAGGATGAGGCAGCCACTGGAGTGGATGCCATCTGCGCCCTCCGCACTGACCCCACGGGCCCTGGGCTGGACAGAGAGCGGCTGTACCAGGAGCTGAGCCAGCTGAGCGGTGGTGTCACCAGGCTGGGTCCCTACACCCTGGACCCCGACAGTCTCTACGTCAATGGTGAGGGGCTGCTACCTTCGTCTGCATTTCCCCAGACCCCACATCCTCCTCTCCGTTCATTCCTCCCTTTCCCTCATCCCTCCCCCTCCTCACCCTTTCTCCCTCTACCTGTGCAGGCTTCACCCGCAAGACCCGGACCACCCCCCCCAGCAGTGAGTATTCAGAGGCTTCAGACATCTCTGCAACCATGTGAGGCCCTGCCCTTAGAGTAGAAGGGGCCAGGAGCCCACCGCCTGCCCTCTGCACCCCTGCTCCATCCCGGCCTTGGGTGAAGGGGGATCTATACCCATTAAAGCCCCAGACGTAGGCCTCTGGTCCCTGACATCTGCAGGATGACGAGGCCCCCACCCCCAGCACTTGTCTCCTCCCAGCTTCCGTGATGACAGGCTCTCCAGCAACAGGGAGGGCTGTGCTGGGCTGTGGCCTCCTCGCCCGGTGGGCTCTGTGCAGCAGGCTCTGCTTGAGTTCAGACTTCCGCTGGGGCTCACACCTCCGAGTGCTTTGGGCAAAGCTTTTGTCTCTGGAGATGTCTTCCCCATTGTCTTCCTTTTTTTTTTTTTTTTAATTTCTTTTTTAAATTTATTTCTGAGAGAGAGAGACAGTGTGAGCAGGGGAGGGTCAGAGAGAGAAGGAGACACGGAATCCGAAACAGGCTCCAGGCTCTGAGCTAGCCGTCAGCACAGAGCCCGAGGCAGGGCTCGAACCCACAAACCGTGAGATCATGACCTGAGCCGAAGTCCCACGCTTAACCGACTGAGCCACCCGGGCGCCCCCCAACATTGTCTTCCTTTTAAGGAATCGTAACTGGGATGGTCCAGATGCCTTCTCCTCACAGCCAAGTTGCCTCTTCATGGAGGACGTCTCCCTTCCCTCCTCCTCAACTTTCCCTCCCTTTGCAGGTTACACCCATCCGGCTCCAGCCACCACCCCCAACAGTGAGTATTTCAGACCTCATGTGCCTGTGACCACCACCCTTTCCCTAAAGATAAGAGCTGCTCAGCCAGCCAGGCCTTCCCTCTGGCTCCCCTCTTCTGGATGGGAAGGAGTCCGGAGGATGATGTCCTGACTCCAGGCTACATGGGCATAGAGACAGGGACACAATTTATCAGAAGAGCCACCACCGTTCCTACCATTCCCATGCAGGTGTGATGCACCTTTGATTTCATCCCTTGTGTTTTTTTCTCTCTGCTGTGTGACCTCCGTCTCCTTCCGCATGTCCTCTCTGGCTCCAACCCTCAAGCCAACAAGTAGGAAGGTCCTACTGTTACCAAAATCATTTCTATGAAATCATTTACTCCAGATGGCTTGTCTCATTGCTTACTCAACTTCCCCAAGGAAACTCACCCATTTCCATGGATTTCAGGGAAGATCTAGCTTCTCTTTTTTTTTTTTTTTTAATTTTTTTAAATTTATTTCTGGGAGAGAGAGAGACAGCGTGAGCAGGGGAGGGTCAGAGAGAGACGGAGATACAGACTCTGAAATAGGCTCCAGGCTCTGAGCTGGCAGTCAGCACAGAGCCTGACGCGGGGCTCGAACCCACGAACCGCGAGATCATGACCTAAGCGAAAGTCGGACGCTTAACCGACTAAGCCACCCAGGCGCCCCAGGGTCCAGCCGCTCAGAATCCAAACCTCGAGTCTAACATAAAGCAGCTTCTGACCCTTGGTCCGCCCACCTCCTGGACATCACCTGGGCCCTCGGTCTCTGGCTCTGAAGTCACAATCTTCTCCCAAACTTGCTCCTTTTCCTTATTCCCAAAGGCAGAGACATGGGTGTCAACCTTGACCCTCCCTCTCATTCGCCTCCCACATCCATCCATCACCAAATCATCTCTCCTCCCTTTGTAATATCTTGTAAGTCCTTCCTCTGCATCCGTGGCACTCGGCCTTTATTCAGGCCACGGGCCTGTTTCGCTAGGACTAATGCAGCAGCCTCTTCTCTGGCGTCATATAGTCCCCCGCCCAACGGCGCAGTGTCCCTCCCAGTGCACCCCTGTCCACACAATCCCTGTCTTGTTGACAGTCTTTGGATGACTCCACCTTATCTACAAGTCACGTCCAAAGCCCTGAGCTGCACAGTCACTGCCCCCCTCCGCCTTTTCTGAGCTCATAGGGCCCCTCCAGTCTCATGTCTGTGCTTCCTCATGGCCACAATGAACACACTCAAGTCCCTTGAGGGCAGCTGCCCTGTCCTACTGCTGGGCTGGTACCCAGGCTAATTCTTCTGCTCGAGTGTTCTCCCTCTTGCTCAATTCTTGTTCATCTAACTCTTACTCATGCTTTTGGTCACATCTGAAGTGATGCTTCCTCCTGGAAGGGGTCCTCAGTCATTTGTTGGGTGCCCCTCTGGAATTGCACACCCCCCAGGCTGCCCTGAAGCCTAATGGTCTGGCCACTCTCCCAGCCTCAATATCAGGAGCCTATGCCCTATTCATCCTTGGACCTGCAGAGCCCAGCCCAGAGCCTCACACACGTTAGATGCCTGATGCACACTCACTGAATGAAATGAGGGAAGGTTCCCAGTGTCTTAAGAATCCCATAATGTTCTCTGCTCCAGCTTCTGCAGTCCATGGCTATACTTAGGTGCATTGCTGGTACTTCACTGTATGAGCTCCAAGCAACCTCAGTCCTTACCGTGGTCCAAGCTGGACATTCTTCTCTTCCTCCCTCACTGCAGCCACTGGCCCCACTCTGGTGTCCTTCACCCTGAACTTCACCATCACCAACCTGCCCTACACAGAGGACATGGGGCGCCCCACTTCCTTGAAGTTCAATTCCACTGAGATGATCCTCCAGCACCAGGTGAGAGCCCCTCAATAACCACCATCAGCCCCACCACGCGCCTGCCCGCACAGCCCTTCAGCCCTTCTGCTGACCCTCTTCTCTTTCCCCACCAGCTCAAGCTTTTGCTCAGTAAGACCAGTGTCGGCCCCGTCTACGCTGGCTGCAGACTCGCCTCACTCAAGTAAGACCCCCAGATGGAGGGATGTGTTGGGCCCAGTGAATCCTTATGCACTGGCCAGCAGGGCACAGTTCCTGGGCATGCCTTTGACACTGCTGTTCTCCAGCACCCGCCATTACACCTTCATGCCTTCTTCATGCCCTGGTAGTCGGAATGCTCAAGCCTTAGAAATGAGGCATCGTGGTTATACTTATGGAATCCAGATGATCATTTGTTTTAGATGAAAGCTTTCCTCTTGGAAGAACCACTATATCTTGTCTGCCGATTCCAATTATGGTGTTTTCTGTTCTTAGTTGTGAGGGGGTTGTCTCTGACAAGAGGCACTGAGGAGAGCCCCTCTGGGCTTCAGAGCAGCCCTGTCTGTACCCTCTCAGCCTCCTGCCTTCTAGTTTTTTGCTTTCTCCATCCAGAAGGCCCCCTCCAACATCCCCATATCCTTCTTTCCCCAGGCTTGAGCAGGGCAGAGCAGCCACTGGAGTGGACATGATCTGCACCATCCACTCTGACCCCGCAGGCCCCGGGCTGGACAGAGAGCAACTGTACTGGGAGCTGAGCCGTGAGACCCATGGCATCACCCAGCTGGGGTCCTCCTTCCTGGACAGGGACAGCCTCTATGTCAACGGTGAGGGGCTGTGCTCCAGCAAGGGTGTCTCTCCCAGCCAAAGTTTTGTGTTTCTCTAAAGGAAGCTGTGGTCCTCTGGTCTGGGTTCAGTCTTCATCCTGATGATGGAATCATGGGCTCCACCATGACTGGAATCATGGGCCACCATGGGCAGCCACCTTCGATCTCATTGCTTGGATGCCTCCTCCCCAATCATCCATCTTCTGCCTAGCCCTCTCTGCTTTTCCCACAAAGACCCCTAAATCCTACCTTTCCCTTGCTCCTTTATGGTCACCCCAACTCTTGCTCAGCTCCTCTGGCCTTCCTTCTGCAGGTTACACCTATGGAGCCACAGCCCCAACTACCACTGGTGAGTACTCCTTGCCCTGGTTGCCTGGGTCTCATCCCCACTTTGGGATTGGGGACCAGCTGCTGTCCTTTACCCCCTGCCTTTGATGACAAAAACACCTGGAAAGGCCCCTCACTCATCCCTTCTTTCCCTGGGATCTGGTGGAAAGTTCCAGCCCAGGACGAAAACATCTTACACACAAGTCTGTCCCCCCACCATTCTGACCCTCACGTGTTTTTCACTCGGACTCTCCTAAAACCCTGCCTTGGTACTCTTTATTTCTTTTATCTTTGTTTGTTTGTTTGTTTTAAGAGAGAATGCATGAGCAGGGGAGGGGGAGAAACAGAGGAGAGAGAATCCCAAGCAGGCTCCATGCCATCATTGCAGAGCCTGACTTGGGACTTGATCCCACAACCTTGAGTCATGACTTGAGCCAAAATCAAGACTCAGACGCTTAACCGACTGAGCCACACAGGTGCCCCGCCCCCAGGTTCTCTTCTCTTACCTTTTACTCACCTCTCTGCTCACTGTTCTGAGAGTCTCGACATCAGTGTCGTGCAGTTGTTAGATTTTCAGTGAACACGCCTTGCAGGCACCATGATAATCACATACTAAATTAGTCAGCTCCAGCTGCCAAAGCATAGTACCACAGGCTGGTGGCACAGAGGACTGATGCATATCTTTCCAGAGCTAGAGGCTGGGGTGTGCCAACAGGCTAGTTTCTCTGGGGCCTCTCTCCTTGGCATGCAGGTGGTGACCTCTTACGGCCTCTCAGCACAGTCACTCCTTTGCACACACATTCCCCATGTTCCTCTGTGCCCCAATCTCTTCCTCTTATACAGACAACAGCCATCTTAAATTAGGGCCCACCCCAACAGCCTCGTTTTAACTTAATTACCTCTTTAAAGGCCCCGTCTCCCAATACAATCCCCTACTGAGGTACCAGGGATTGGAGCTTCTCAAATTTCGGTGGTTGGGGGAGACACAATTCATCCAAAAGCACATGTCCCTTATCCTTTCATTCTTGCTACAACCATGTGACTTAGCTCCAATTTACAGACGAGTAAACCCAACCTCACAAAGGCTGTCAAGTCACACAGCAAATAAATAATAGAACCAGGAGTTCCTGTGACTCCAAAAACTCACAGTCTCATTCACCTGTCAGTTAATTTTTTTAAAAAGACATGCTGATTTTTGGTGTACAACTGTCGTGTTCAAGTTCATGGACCAAACTCCCATTGCATCCACAGCAACCCCTAGAATGAGGACCTTGTAGTTTTTTCAAGAGTTAATTGCCCTTGCATTAGAAGTATGTTTTTGCAACCCTCTCAGACTCTCTTCTTGGGTTCATCTCTGGTCTTTTACACCACAAATCCCTCGTTTACTCCTTCCAACATCAGCAGGGTTCTGGGGTCCTCAGGTCCAATGAGAACCATCTTTTCCCAAATTATAAGAGGAAAAATAAGTTAAATTCATTCAATTGGCCATGTTTTGTTTACCAGTATCCAGTCCTTGGAATAGATTCAGAAGTATTATAGTACAAATTCAATGTACATGGAGGGAAGGCAAGATTGATGGATGGAGGGAGGGAGGGAGGGAAGGAAGGAAGGAAGGAAGGAAGGAAGGAAGGAAGGAAGGAAGGAAGGAAGAAGTGATGAGAGAAGGAGAGAAGATGGATGAGCAGATGGAGGGAAGAAAAGGTGAATGGAGGGGAAAAAGGAGGGAGGGAACATGTCTAAATAGATGGAAGGAATAGATTGAAAGGAAGCAAATATGGATGGATAGAAGGAAGAAAAGAAAGGGTGAAGGAAGGGAGCAAGGAAAGGTGGAAGAAAGTGGGGATAGAAGGAAGGACAGACAGAAGGATGCATAGAAGAAAGTATGAATGGGAAGAAGGAAGGAATGATGTATGCAGGAATGGTGGATGGATGGATGGATGGATGGATGGATGGATGGATGGATGTCATTGGTGCATGGATGGATGGATGAGTGAGTTGGTGAATGGAGAGATGGAGGATGGATGGATGGATGGGTGGGTGGATGAATTGATAGATGGAATATGGAGGAGGAGAGATGGATGGATGGATTCATGGATGGATATCATGGGTGCATAGATGGATGAATAGGTGTCATGGGTGCATGGATGGATGGATGGAGAGATGGATGGATGGATGGATGGATGTCACTGGTGCATGGATGGATGGATGAGTGAGTTGATGAATGGAGAGATGAAGGATGGATGGATGGATGGGTGGGTGGATGAATTGATAGATGGAATATGGAGGATGGAGAGATGGATGGATTCATGGATGGATATCATGGGTGCATAGATGGATGAATAGATGTCATGGGTGCATGGATGGATGGATGGAGAGATGGATGGATGGATGAATGGATGGATGGAGATACAGAGAATGTATGAGTGGAGAGATGAATGGATGGATGGATGGTTGCCTTGGTTGCCTGGATAGATAGACTTGTGAGTGGTTGGATGGAGAAGTGAAAGAAGGATGGATGGGCAGAGAGATGGATGGGTGCATAGATTGTAGACAAAAGGAAAGAAGGGATGAAAGGAGGAAGAAGCAAAGATGGATAGATGGAAGGAGGGAAGGAAGGATGAATTCATGGATGACTAGAAAGAATGATGGACAGAAGAAAGGAAGGATGGAAAGAAGGATAGACAGAAGGAAGCTTGCAAGGAGTGATGAACAGAAGGGAAGGAGAAAAGAGGTTTGTCGTAAACAGTTGACCCTGTGCTGCTGACTGCTTATCTAGTCTGGAGTCAAAGCACAAGGCCTCTGGTCTTACTTGCATCTTGTATTTACTTATTATACTTCTCCTGGGGTCTATCCAGGTCACCCCCCACTATTGAACACTGGGCCAGCTGCATGTGTCTGAGCAAGAGCATGTGTATTAGCAGGGGAGTTCATGAGCAAGGACCCTGGGGTCAGAGAACCTAGGCCCAAACCCAGACTCTCCCTCCCTCCAGTCACATAACCCTGGGCAGGAGACAATTTCTGTGCTGTGGTTCCTCTTTGTTTAGTGCGGAGAAGTCTAGCGACCAGCACATATTTATCCAGGTAAAAAGCCCTATTTGTAATGAGTGATCAGAAAGTATTCGCTTATTTGTCTTCTATAATAAAACACTCAAATAGTGTTTACTCTGTGCCCAGCACTGTGCTTATGCACTTTACAAAATTTGACTTGTTCAAACCTCATAACAGCTTTTGAAGTAGGACTTATCATTATCTCACAGATGAGTAAACTGAGGTGCAGAGAGATTGGTTACAGCTGCTAGTTGCCTTCCTTTTCTTTTTTTTTTTTTTTTACACAATGCATAGAAGATTGGCATTCCTGGGTGTAAGAGAGAGACAGAGAGGAAAGGAGAGACAGAGCACAGAGAGATAAAGAGATAGAAATGGGGGAACAGAAAGAAAGTGAAGGGAAATGCCTGGGGTTATCATTGGTCCCACATCAGCAGGGTAAGTTGAAGCCTTTCCTTCCGGGAAAGAACAAAGCTGCCAGCATTTTCACAGAACCCTCCCCTCCTGTCCCTGGGTGGAAATAACTCCTCCAGCCCCCAGATCATTAAGCTTGTCCTTACTTGCTGCTGGAGTTGTCTCCATTAACAAGTGACGCTCAGGGGCGCCCAGGGGGCTCAGTCGGTCGGGCATCTGACCGGCTCAGGTCATGATCTCACGGTTTGTGGGTTCGAGCCCTGCGTCGGGCTCTGTGCTGACAACTGGCTCAGAGCCTGGAGCCTGCTTCAGATTCTGTGTCTCCCTCTCTCTCACCCTCTCCTGCTCATGCTGTCTCTCTCAAAAATAAATATTAAAAATAAAACAAAAACAAGTGATGCTCAGGTTTACTCGGAGGAGGACAGGAGCCCTTGGAAGCCCCGCTGTGGGTGGACGTTGGGCACTCGACCTCCCACAACCCTTGGCTCCCTCTGTACTCACCACAGCTGGGGAGGCCCGTGAGGAGCTGTTCACACTGAACTTCACCATTGACAACCTGCGCTACTCAGCGGACATGGGCCACCCCGGCTCCCTCAAGTTCAACATCACAGACAGCCTCATGCAGCACCTGGTGAGAGACCTACTTCCCCCTCGATGCCTCCATGACCCCTCCTAGGGGCTGTCACCACCTCTGACCACACTGGCTCTCCCCTTCCTCTCCAGCTCGGCCCGTTGTTCCGGAGGAGCAGCCTGGGTGCCCGATATACAGGCTGCAAGGTCATCTCACTAAGGTGAGAAGCCCCCACCCACCAGGGCCCACCACCGAAGGACCAGAACTGTGGGGCCACTCCCAGTTGAGGTGGGCTGTCTTGGGGCGTCCTTTTTGGCATCCATTTTTAAATATTATGTTATTGTTATGATTGTCATAAAATATGTTTAGACATAAAATTAGCCATTTTAACCATTTCCCAGTATACATTTCAGTGGTATCTGTTACATGCATGATGTTGTCCCCCATCCCCACCATCTAATTCTGACACTCTCCATCACTCTGTACCCACTGGGCAATTACTCACACTTCTCTGGGTCAGTGTGTGTTCTCTTGGTGTTTACGAAGTCCTTCTCCATCTGTATTCTCATCCCACTGTCATTGGTGGTGTGTCTCCTCTGAGGCAGGCGGTGGGTACCGCAGTGACAGGGCCAGCACTGCCCCTGCCCTCAACTAGTGGCTAAAGCAGAAAGTAAGTAGAAGGATAGACATCTAAAGTGGTTTCAAATGCAGTAAAGTGATGAGGAGCATTAATACGTAGAGACGGGAAAGCAGCTTTACCCAGGGCACTCCACCTCTTTGTGGAGGTGATTTCTGAGCTGTGTCCCAATTGGAAACAAGGACTTGGCCATGAAAACTGCTCCAGGCAGAGGAAACAGCATGGGCAAAGGTCCTGAGGCAGGAATGGGCGTGGCATGTTCAGTGAAGAGCAAGGAGGCCAATGTGGCTGGAGCAGAGAGAGAGAGAGCAAGGGACAGAGAGAAAGGAGGTGAGTTTCCAGACATCAGCAGAGTCTTGTTAGGAATTGTTGTTTTTTTTTTAAATTGTGGTAAAATACACATGACATAAAATTTACCATCTGAATCATTTTTAAGTGTTGGTAGTGGTACTACAATATATTCACACACAATATACACAATACACAATATATTCATATTGTGCAACCAATCTCCAGAACTTGTAAAACTGAAACTCTGTACCCAATAAACAACAGCTCTCGCTTCCCTCCACCCCCAGATGCTAACAGTCGCCATTCTGCTTTCTGTCTCTGTGAATCGGACAACTCTGGGCATGTCGTACAAGTGGAATCATATGATATTTGTCTTTTTATGTGTGGTTTATTTCACTGACCATAAAGTCCTCAAGGCTCACCCATGTTGTAGCAAGTGTCAGAATTTCCTTCCCTTTTAAAGCTGAATAATATTCCACTACATGGATATGTCATAGTTTATCCATATTCATCAGGACTCTGGTTTTTATGTGGAGCAAGCAATATGAAAGGTACTAGGGGTTTAGTACAACAATGAGCTAGACTGTCCTATTTCCTGACCTCATGGAGGCCACTGTCTGGAGGGAACAGGAACAAATTATATGCTCACACTGAAGGCAACTGGGGCTGTGATGGGGGAAGCATGAGGCACTGTGGCAGCCAGAGTACTGACCAGTCTGGGAAGATTTTTTGGAAAAGGAGGAGGTATCTAAGTTGGGACCTGAGAGATGACCGGGAAATTACCCAGGTAAGGAGAGAAGGGGAGAAAGCTCCAGACAGAAGTCACTGCATGTGCAAAGATCCTGGGGTAAGGGAATGTGGCCAGGTGGAGAAACTGTGAATGGTTCAACAAGGCTGGACCATAGGATATGAGGTGCGCAGTGGCCACAGGTAGAGAGATGCCACATGGGCTACAGTCCCCAAGCATTAACAACCTGTCCTTCCTCAGGTCTGTGAAGAATGGCGCCAAGACAAGAGTGGACATCCTCTGCACCTACCGGCAGCGCCCCAGCAGCCCGGGTCTACCTGCCAAACAGGTGTTCCATGAACTGAGCAGGCAGACCCGCGGCATCACCCGGCTGGGCCCCTATTCTCTGGACAAGGACAGCCTCTACCTCAATGGTGAGTGGATCTCAGCCCACCTCACTGCTTCCACTCCCCCGTCTCCGGAAACGTTTCCGTTAACCGTAGGTCAGTTCCCTAGGGGAAACCTGGGGACAAACTGAGGTGTGAATCGCAACTCCACACTGACCCCCACCCTCCACCAGTCATTCTGCAGGGCTGTCCTTGATCTCACCTATTTTACGGATGTAGAAATGGAGGCTCCGAAAGATTAAGTAATTTGTCCAAGTGGGTGTAGCTTGAGAGGGGCGAGCCCCAGCAGTCAGTGTCCAATGCCTTAAACTCCTAGAAGAGCCTTCTGAGGGGAGACATGGGGGAAGAAAATCCCACATCTGTCTCCCCTGTCATCTTCTCACCCTTGACCACGGATGGTCTTCTCTCCTGGGTGGGGCCCTGGTGCCAGAAAGTAAGGTAGGCGCTCTGAACATCTGTGGGGTCTGAGCTTGGGACATACTGGGCATCAGCCTAGCATCCAGGAAGGGACGGCGTGTAAGAGGATGAGCCTCCTCCGGAGTTCTAAGAGGCAGAGCATGGCTGTAGTGAAGTTCATTGCAATAACTCAACTTCTCTCCTCTCTGTTTCCAACTTGGGAATGGAGTTTGGCGACTCCCACTTTCTCAACACATCAGGTGAGCAGGGAGACATCCATCCTTTATGACAGCCATGTTAGCAAAGAGGGAGATGCTACAGAGAAAGGAAGAGACCTTCCCATGCCCACAGTAGGTTGGTGTCCAGTCTGGGTCTTGGTGTTCTGAGTTCATATCTATTCCCTTCCCCTTGGCCATTGCAGAGGCCAGTTTAGGATATTTCCTCCTGGGAACTGCACAGTGCTTCTTTTTGTTCACTTGGTCGGCATTCACCAGCATCTGCTAGAAGCTAGGCACGGTGCCCAGCACCAGGGACACAGGCTACATGTGCAACCTGTACTAATGTAAGCTCCAAAGGTGCAGAGACATTCTGTTCGGTGTTGTATTCCCCAAATGGAATGGAACTTGGCGCATAGTAGGTTCTCAATAACGATTTATTGGATGGAGAGATAGATTGGAGGGAGGGTGGATGGAAGGGTATGTGGGGGGATGAGTGTGTGAACACATATGTGATGAGAGCCTCGTGGGGGCATGCTGGAGAGGTGGATGGGGAAGGGTCGTTTCTAACTGGGAGACCAGGAAAACCTTAATGGTGGAGATGACATTTGAGTCTGATCTTAGAAGATGCATCGATGCTCACCGGTACATAGAAAGGCATCCAGCAGGAGTCCCACATGGACGAAGGCATGGACTGTCTGGGATTGTTCTGCCACCTCCCCTTATGTGTGACATGTTTGTTTCCAGGTTATAATGAACTTGGTCCAGATGAGCCTCCCACAAGTATGTATCTTTGCATCCAATAACCCATCTTGAGCCAAGCTTTTCTCCTCACTAACAAAGGGAGTTTGCCCCAAACTCAGGTTGCTCTCCTGAGTGAGGCCAAGGTGTCAGTGAGATAACTGCTGAGTCCTTGGTCTCTTTCTGGACCTGCAGCCATGGCTTTGGCTTTCTAAACTTTCCACACTCTTCTGGGTTGGAGGAACCCCCTATAGGGATGGGGGTTGAGGTCAGATAATGACCTTGTAGTCCATGCCTTCTGGAAACAAAATCTCTCCTACAAGGGCCACAAAACGGGCCTTGATATCAAGCTGCAAATTGTGGTGGCCACTTGGTGGTTTGGCCAAATTTTCCCATTCACTTATCCAGTGGTCCCTTCATCTGTCTTTTAACCCATCCATTCTTCCATTCTGCCAGTTATCCTTCTCTCAGACTTTTCCTTCCTTCCTTCCTTCCTTCCTTCCTTCCTTCCTTCCTTCCTTCCTTCCTTCCTTCCTTCCATCCATTAATCCATCATCCTTCTTTTCCTCCTTCCCTTCATTCTTTCATCCATCCACCCATCCATTCTTCCTTTTCCCTCCTTACCTCCATCCCTCATTCATTCGATCCTTCATTCATTCGTCTACCCTTCCTCCCTTCTTTCTTACGTCCCTCCCTTCCTCCCTCCCTCCCTCCTTTCCTTCCTTCCTTCCATCCTTCCCTCCAACTTTTCTTCCTTGTGTTTATTCTTGCTTTCTCTTTTACCTTTCATTTGTTCGTATTTCCTCTGTCCATCCAGGTATCCCATCTGTCTGTCCACCTTTCTGCCCATTCGTCTCTCTGTCTTTTTTGCTTAGTCTTTCACTTGTTTACCTACCCTTACTCTCTTTGGTTTGTTTCATTCATGGGCTCGCTCACCCCTCTGCTCACCCGATTCCTCCTTCCCTTACTCTCATGTATGGCACACCTGTGAATGCTTGCGCTGGGACAGCTACTGCTGGAGCCCAGGCAGACTTGGGGAGCTTCTCCCACTCAGTGGGGAGCTCTGCCCCTTCCTGATCACTGCCCTTTCCACAGCTCCTGAGGCAGCCACCATAGTCCTGCCTAGTTCATCATCACCTGTGCAACCAGAAGCCACCACAGGTATTTAGGGGACCCCTTTTTCTTCCCAAGAGAAACTCTCTAGCCCCCCACCTCTACCAGTCAGTTAAAACACAGGGGCTGAGAAGCCAGAATGTAAAATTCTGGTTTAGGACAGTCATGCCAATCATGAAGATTATACTGAAAATTCAATCTAATGCATACCTTCATGGAGCCCCCAGTATTGTGAGATCAACAGACCATTATAACCATGTGGGATGCTTTGGGGAGAGGAATCCAGCATAATTTGGAAGGGAAGGGCTTTCTGGAGAAAAATTCACCCAAACTGAGTCTTTAAGAATGAGTAGTAGTCATCTGGGCAAATAGGGGATGAAGAGTTTTCCTGGTGTAGGGGATTCAATGAGCAAAGACTCAGTAGCCAGAAACAGCAGAATATATGGAGAGAACTGAGAGGGATTTAGTTTGCATGAAGCATAAAGCTTAACCTGGAGTAGATGGAGAAGTGAAGCTGAAACATTGGCAAAAATGATTGGGAGGGACCTTGAGTGCCAGGTCAAGAAGCTTGAACTTAGCACTGAAGGCCAAAGGAAGCCATGGGCAGTGGTGACTCTACTGAGGTTTCCACTTGAGAAAATTCTTCTAGGGTCTAGTCAGTGAAGCGTCTGACTCTTGATGTCAGGTCAGGTCATGAACTAAGAGTTCATGGAATCTAGCCCTGCATCTGTGCTGTTAGCACAGTGCCTGTTTAGGATTCTCTCTCTCTCTCTCTCTCTCTGCTCCTCCCCCATGCACACACACACACATGCTCTCTCCCAAAATAAATAAATAATTTTTTTAAAAAAGAACAAAAATTTCTGGAGTGCCTGGGTGGCTCCGTCCGTTAAGCATCCAGGTCATGACCTTGTGGTTCATGAGTCAGGCTCTGTGCTGACAGCTCAGGGCCTGGAGCCTGCTTCGGATTCTGTGTCTTCCTCTCTCTCTGCTCCTCCCCAACTCATGCTCTGTCTCTGTTGGTCTCTCTCTAAAAAATAAATAAGCATTAAAAAAATAAATTAAAAATTAAAAAATTAAAAAAATCTTTCTGCTAGAATTCAGGGTAGAGAACATTCATCTAGTAAGTGGACCAGGTGACAGAGGATAAGACTTGAGCTGGGACAGCATAGAGAGCTAGGGTGTGTGTGAGGACCATTCTGTAAGTGGAAATGCTGTTACCTTGAGAGGGGGAAGGAGGAGGTAGGCTACATGCTGGTTTTGACTTGGGTGACCACGTTGGTGGGTTGGTGGTGACACTGGAAGAGAAGATGACAGAGTACGATGAGTGCAGGACTCTGATTTGGTCTCAGGCCAACTCTCAGTAGTCACCGCCTCTCCCCCTCTCTTCTCGTAGCTATGGGACACAACTTGAAGACCTTCACACTCAACTTCACTATCTCCAATCTCCAGTATTCAACAGACATGAGCAACAGCTCAGCCATGTTCAACTCTACCAAGAGGACCCTGCAGCTCCTGGTGAGACCCTGCTCCTAGTAGCTCCTAGTGGGATAAATCCCACCCGCCCCTCCCCTATCCGTGTCCCTCCTGCTCATCCTTCTCCTCCTTCCTCCCCAGCTTGGATCCTTGTTCCAGAAGAGCAGCCTGGGCCCCTTCTATTCAGGCTGCCGACTAATCTCCCTCAGGTAGGACTTCCTCCTGAGCATTTGCTGGTAGTGACCACTTTGGTGACCAACCCTTTCAGTCTTCCCACTGACCTCCCATTTGCCCCTCCCTCCTTGTAGCCCCCATACTGAGGTTTCAGAACCTCCCTTTAGAGTTCCCACATCCCTCTCTCCCCAGGCCTGAGAAGGATGGGGTAGCCACTCATGTTGACGCCATCTGCACCTACCGCCATGACCCCATGGGCCACGGGCTGGACAGAGAGCAGCTTTACTGGGAGCTAAACCAGCTGACCCATGGTGTCACTCAGATGGGCGTCTATACCCTGGTCAGGGACAGCCTCTTCATCAATGGTGAGTGATTTACAGCGATCATTATTTGTCTCCATTCTATTTTATTTCCTCTTTAACAATCAGCCCAAGCTCTGATTGGAGGGCACCCTCCCCAAGCTCTCCATGGACAGAGTTTCTCCTGTTATTTCAGGTAAATGGCATGAAATTCTTTGACCAAATTAATATAAATAATTTTAATTTGAACTCCAAATGTCTGACTCATGGATCCCTTGGGATAGGAATTCTTCTATGTGAGGGTCTTCTGTGCCAGTGATTCTCATCTAGGGGGTGATTCTGCCCCTCAGGAGACACTTGGCAATGTCCGGGGACATTCTGATTGCCACAGTCGGGGAAAGAGTGCTACTGGCACCTCGGGGCTCGAGGCTAAGGGTATTGCCAATGTTCTCCAATGAACAGGGATCCTCACTGCCAGGACTGACATAGCTCCAAATATCAGTAGTTCTGAGGATGAGAAACCCTACTCTACATGGTCCTATGGTTCCCAGATGGGCACCAGGCCAACTTATCACACGTTATCACAATTATTTAATTATCCAACTCTACGAAATTAAGGTCTTGTAATCTGGCACTATATCCTCAGTTCTTTATGTGTCAGTACATCGCCATCCCCAACGTATGAGTAAATGAGTGAACAAAGGGGAGATGAGTGTCTCAGCCCCCATAATGGGGGACCAACTGCAGTTCACATTCACTCATTCAACAGCCGCATGTACAATCCCATGCTGTCCCAAGCCATGTGCTGGATACAGAGATGGAACACATAGTTTCTCTCCCTGAAAAACTAATAGTCAAGAGAATGAGTATTACTTAGGGACACACAAAAAAGAGGCAGAGACACTGTTATTAGCAGGGAAGCACACAGGAGGGGCAAGTCAAGGAGACCTTCCTGGAAGAGGATATTATGTACCCAGTCCTGTAGTAAGTACTGGGACATGGTAAGAACAAGACAGATGGGTCCCTACTCTCCTGGAGTTCCATCTCATTGAGGTCCTGAAACATGAGTAGGAGATTTCCAGAAAAAGAAGACGATTGAAAATATTCCAGGAAGCGGGAACTACATATGCACAAGTAGAAAAGCTCAGCTCGGGAGAATCCCTGTAACATTCTAGTTTTCCCCCTCTTCGGGGTGACTTTCCACTAGGAAGCCCCCAGCACATGGGCCTGAATTTGGCTGACTATGACAGCAGTCATCATGCCTCCCTCTCTGTCAAAGGTTAAGAGTCTCCACCTCTCGTCTCTTCCTCTCGTTGGCTCCAGGCTATGCACCCCAGAATTTATCGATCCAGAATGAGTATCAGCTAAATTTCCGCATCATCAACTGGAACCTCAGCAACTCAGACCCCACATCCTTGGAGTACCGAGCCCTGCTGAGGGACATCCAGGACAAGGTGGTGTCTCTCTTACCTTTCCCATCTTTCCTTACCCTGGGTGCTCCCTCCCCTCCCCCCACCATTCTTCTGCCTGAGTTACATCTGTTAAGTGTTCCAACTCTTCACTTTACCTAATGTGTTCTAGGTTCTCTCACTTTCCAAAGGTGGCCTCTGACTGCCTTCCCCATTTCCCAGATGGGCACACTAAGGCTCAGACAGGGGCATGGTGATGACATAGTGAGTTAAGGGACAGAGCCAGGATTTGAACTCAGGTCTCCTTTGCCCCAAGGCCTGTGTTCCTTCCCTAACTCCATTAATCCCTCCAGCCCCAGGAGATCTCCATCTTACCCTTTATTCTAGGTCACCAAACTCTACAGAGGCAGCCAGCTACAGGACAGATTCCGCTCCTGCCTGGTCATGAACTTGACGTAAGCTGGGGAGGTTGAAAGCATTGGCTGAGCTGGCAGCTTGTGGCCCTGGGCTGCCATCCTGGCCTAGTCCTTGAGCTGGAAGTCACAGACATGGTGCCCACGTGCTGCCACGTCTCTGTCAGTTAATCCTACTGTGTCCTTCCTTAGATCTTCGGTTGGTGGGGGATGGGAGGCGGGAAAAGGATTAACTTCCCAAGGCCACCAACTCTGTTATCCTCCACTTTCTCCTTTCTGGATACTTTCAACAAATACCAGCCCAGTAATGACGTTTCCTATGGCCACAGCCCTGCTGAGCACTTTAGTGCATGGGCATCTCATGCCCCTATAAGATGGATACTATCTGTGATCATCTCCATTGTTCAGATGGGGAAGCTGAGGCTCAGAGAAGCAAAGTGAACAAACCAAGAATTGCCCAAGGTGGATTTTAACCCAAGTCTGTGAGGGATGGGTAGAGGAACTGAGACATCTACACTAGGGAACAGGATGATTATGGGACACAGTGCCAACTTTGAGTGTTTCCAAACCAGTTCCTTTGGGTTTAAGTTGGAGATAATTATAATAATACCTTCCACCAGAATGATGATGAGAGAATGTGTATTCACTTCCTAGAGGTGCTCAATAGATGTTCGTTAATTTTATAGTTATTTGTTCTATTCTCATCTCCTGGAAACTTTGTGTTTTTGATCAGGGTCTCTTCTCTAGCCTGAGGGAAGAGGAAGCCAGATAATCTCTTACTTCTTGCCTGTAGTTCTTTGGCTCTATTAAACAGGAACTCAGCAGACACTGCTGGTGTTGAGTGCTGGCTGAGTTCCATCGTCTCTGTCCCTAGGTTGGACTCCATGTTGGTCACCATCAAAGCTCTGTTCTCTTCCAATGTGGACTCCAGTGTGGTGAAGCAAGTCTTTCTAGACAAGACTCTGAATGACTCATCCCACTGGCTAGGTGCCACCTATCAGCTGGCGGATTTTCACGTGACAGGTGTGAGATTGGGGGTTGTTTCATGGCTTGAAGAGATGGGGCTATGAGAAAGGATGGGGTCTCTCAGTAGCAGTGGAATGGATGGAGGCTCTAGAGGGAAAAGGAGGTCTTTCTGAGGGCCCATGATGATGAACCATGGCAATGGGTCATCCCAACAGGAGGCAGGAAGAAAACATGCATCAACTGCACTCAAGGGAATGGTTATTTTTACATGTAAATATTTCCAACCCAAAGTTTGGAGTATCCTGAGTTGCCTTCTTAGGCTCTCTGTTTATGAGTCATGCATTGATTGATTGACTCATTCATTCATTCATTTATTCATTTATTCATTCATTCATTCATTCAACAAATATGTCATGAAAGTAAATAGATGCTGATGATGCCCTGTGGTAACTGCTGTGATCAGGTAATTTAAAGAGCCTGTGGGATCTCCAAAGAGGGACACATGGCCCATCTTGGAAAGTTTTCTGGAGGAAGTGGTGAAAAAACTGAGATGTGATGGCAAACATGACCTAGCCAATGGGAAGAGCTGGGAGTTGAGCTACATGTGTTTATAACCTAGAAGATAAAATATTTAGAGATATATAAGGAGTTTGGTGTAGTGAAGCAAATACTTGGCATGAGAGAAGTGAAAGGTAAGGCTCTAGAGGCAGGCGGGGACTTTCTTGGGCACCGGAATGGTTTGCAGAGGAACACAACACAAAGTTCTGCTCTAGAAAGCTCATCTTCTGGGTTCTCTGTAGAGAGTGGATTGGGAAGGGGGAGAAGACCAGAGGAACTAAGGTCAGCAAAGGTGTGTGACAGATGTCCCCTGAGGTGATCAACACCTACACTTGCCATCTGTGCCCCAGAAAGCCCAGTGTCATCTTCCCCACATACTGGTGAGCTCTCATAATGCTTGAGGGAGAGCTGGATGGATAGATAGATCAATGGATTCAAAGTGGCCAAGCAGATAGAGATCTTACCTATCCCACCTTTGAAAGTCTAGCTCGGATCACATTGCCCGAATAAGTAGACCAGCTGGAATGACTTCTTCTTGGCTAAAATCTTCACCTGATGGGGACTTTTATACCTTCTTTTTGTTATAGAAGTGGAATCATCAGCTCATCTACCAACAGACAAACCAACAAGCAGCCCCAGCTCACAGCACTTCCAACTGAACTTCACTGTCACCAACCTACTCTATTCCCAGGACTTATCCCAGCCCAGCACCACCAAACACCAGCGGAACAAGAGAAGTATTGAGAATGCGGTGAGACTGGGTTGTGTTCCCATGTAGAGACAGACCTATGGGCACTGGGTAGCCAGAGGGTGACTTTTCTTAACAATTCCTGCAGACAGGTTCTTTTGCCCATTTACAAATTAAGAAACAGGCACAGAGAGGTTCAGTAGTTAGTCTAGGGTCATATATCAAAGTCACACCCTGGAATGGGATGTCCTTTGGTGTACGTATCTGGGCTAGTATTTGTTGAGATAAGAAAAAATAGATGGGGAAGTATTCTCTCGGTGGCTAAAAATTCTCAGATGCCGCTGGGTCTGGAGTTCTGATCAAGGGAACATCACCCTGTTTTTCAGCTCAACCAGCTCTTCCGAAATAGCAGCATAAAGAGTTATTTCTCTGACTGCCAAGTTTTAGCATTCAGGTGAGTTCCAACTCAGGACCTGATCACTCTGGAGACTCCTGCGGTCCTTTAAGTAAGAGTGTCCCCACGTTATGGTCTCAGTTTCTAGCTCGTACGGAAGATAACCCTAGGAGTATAAAACGGTTACCTAAAAACCAACTTGTTCCTAAACCAGTGAACTCAACTGACTTAGAAACTCAAGAGAGCCAGCATAGGGGCGCCTGGGTCGCTCAGTCAGTTAAGCGTCCAACTTAGGCTCAGGTCATGATCTCGTGGTTTATGGGTTCAAGCCCCACATCAGGTTCTGTGCTGACATCTAGCTCAGAGCCTGGAGCCTCTCTTCGGATTCTGTGTCTCCTCTCTCTCTGACCCTCCCCCGCTTATGCTATCTCTCTCTCTCAAAAATAAATAAAACAAAAAAAAGAGAGAGAGAGCCACTATAGACCTTAGTAGATATGGACGTGCCTGGTGCATGGAATATGGAGTGTATCATCTATGCCTTAAGGAATCAGCTGTTGGGAGTCAGGATCCATAGAAGATGGGGGTGGCTAGAACCAGAGACTTGGAATTCAGCAGTCTAACTGTGTTACTCAGTAGTATAGCCACTAATCACATGAGGCAATCGAGATTTTTTATTCATCTATTGAGATATGATTCACCTATAAAATGTACCCTTTTGAAGTGTACAATCTAGTGGTATATTTATAGAGTGGTACAACCACCCCACTATCTAATGGTGGAACTTTTTTTTTTTTTAAATCCTGTCCCCATTAGCAGCTGCTGCCTATTTTTCCCTCAGCCCTACCCCCTAGCAAACAATAATCTACTTTCTGTCTTTCTCGATTTGCCTGTTCTGAACATTCCATTTAAATGGATTAATATATTATGTGGTCTTTTGTGGCTGACTTCTTTCATTGAGCATCATGTTTTCAAGGTTCATCCATGTTGTAGCATTTTAGATACTCCATTCCTTCTTTTGTGATGGAAGAATGTTCTATTGTATGGCTACACCATTCTTCATTTATCCATCCATTCACTGATGGACATCGGGTCGTCTCCCCTTTTGCCTACTGGGAATAATGACCCTGGACCTTGTCTATTATGAGTAACGAAAAACTTGCGTTAAGTTTTTGCATTAGTTTGAGTTTTCAGTTCTCTTGGGCATATACATAGGTCGGTATTGTAGGCTCATGTGGTCATTGCATGTTAACTTCTGGGGAACTTCTGAACTGTTTGCCACAGAGGCTCTACCATTTACCATTCCCACAAGCAATATATGAGGGTTCCAAATTATCCAGGTCCTCACCAACAATTCTTCTTTTTTTTTTTTTTTTTTACCATAATCATTCTATTAGATGTGAAGTGGTATCTCACTGTGGTTTTGATTTGCAGTTTCCTAATGATTAGTGATGTTGAGCATTTTTTCATGTATTTATGGGTCATTTCTGTACCTTCTTTGCATAAATGTCTATTCAGGTCCTTTATCCAGTTTTACATTGATTCTTTTAAATTGTTGAGTTATAATTGTTCTTTGTATGTTCTGGATATTACACCCTTATCAGATATATGATTTGCAAATATATTCTTCCATTTAGTAGGTTGCCTTTTCACCTTCTAAGTACTATCCTTTGAAACACAGTCATTTTTAGTTTTGGTGACTCTCAATTTATCAATTTTTTCTTTGGTTGTTTGTGGTTTGTGTCCGATATCTAAGAAACCATTGCCTAAGCCAAACTCACAAAAATTTACACCTAGGTTTTCTTCTAAGGGTTGTATAATCATCTCTTACATTTAGCCATTTGGTTCGTTTTGAATTAATTTTTATATATGTTGTGAACTACAAGTTCAACTTCATTCTTTTGTATGTGGATATCTAGTTGTCTCAGTACCATTTGTTAAATAGACTATTCTTTCCCCATTATCTTGGCAACCTTGCTGAAAATCAATTGTCCAGGATTGCATTAGTTTGTGGATTCTAAATTCTATTCCACTGATATATATGTTTATCCTTATACTAGTGGCCAATGTTTTTATTACTGTAGCTTGGTATAAGTTGAGATAACTCCATTGGGAAATGGAGTTCTCCAACTCTGTACTTTTTCCATATTGGATTACCTATTTGAGGTCCCTTGCAACTCCATGTGGATTATAAGATCAGTTTGTTAATTTCTGCAAGAGAGTCAGCTGGGACTGTGATAGGGACTGCATTTAATCTGTAGATCAGTTTGGAGAGTATTGACATTTTAACAATAATAAATCCCCAGTCTATGAACATGGGATGCGTTTCCATGTATTTTGGTATTTTAAAATTTCTTTCAACATGCTCTGTAGTTTTCAACCTGCAAATCTCACAACGCTTTTGTTAAATTTATTCCTACATGTTTTGAATTTTGTTCTTTGATGCTATTATAAATGGAATTGTTTTATTAATTTCATTTTAAGAATGTTAATTGCTAGTTTATATAAATACAATTGATTTTTGTATATTGGTCTTACATCCTACATTCATGCTGAACTAATAGCTTTTAGCCGTGTGTGTCTGTGTCTGTGTGTGTATTAGGATTTTCTATATTTAATAACATGTCATCTGCAAATAGAGATAATTCTACATCTTTCCTTCCGATCTGAATGCTTATTGTTTCTTTTTCTTGCCTAATTATTTTATTAGAATTACATCTATTAAAATGTAACTGGGACATGAAATGAGGGAAGACAGGACTGTCTTGTCCCTGTTCTTGGGGGAAGAGTTTTAGTCTTTCACCACTGAGTATGATTTTATCCATGGGCTTTTCACAGATGCTATTTTTCAGGTTGAGCAACTTTTTAGTCCAGTTTGTTGAGCTTTTCTTTTTTAAAAATCATAAAAGATGTTGTATTTTGTTATATTCTGGTTTTGGATGTGTCTGAGATTGTGTAGTATCTGTCCTTTATTAATATGCCCTATTCCACTGACAATTTTTTAAGATATTAAGCTAGCCTTTTAGCTAGAGGTGAGAGATTAAGGCATACTCAAATATTTCCTAGGTATTCACACAGCCCCACACATTTGTGACTTTCTAGATCCCCATAAACACATTGGAGCTTTTCAAAACCCCGCAGGGACATCTCAATCCTGACTTTTTATGCAAAAGTTTTTGGCTCACCTCTTACCTGCCCCAACTGTTATTACTTCCTCAGGCAGCTGCCAAGTTAAACAATTATTACTGATTGTTTTGGGCAAGTGCCCTGGGGAGAGGCTTTCCTCACTGAAAAAGTTCTGAGTCAAATAAAGTCAAGTCCCGAAATTGGGGCTTTTTAAAAGGAATCTCCAGACAGGTCGAATATTGAAGCTTCAAAGGGAATGGGTCTTTTTTGGGAATTCCAAACAGATTGTGGCTACCAGGCTGCTGTTTTTCACAGCTACTATGGTTCTCATATTGCTGGTTTTCAAAGTTTCTGGGGATGTTGTGAGAGCGTCCTGGGAATAATGCAGGTTCCTTTTACCAAGATTCAGCCATCTTTTTTTCTCAATGAAATGATCTTCAGATTATTGCAAACCTTTGGTTAATTTCTAGACTTCCAAAAAAAGTTGATTTTGACCATTCTTGCCAGTGTTCTTAGTGATTTTATGGATTTTTGGAAGTCCTTAGTCTAAACGTTTCAAATGTGTTCTCCCCATGGCTATTTATTTATAAACTAATTAAATTAAATGAGATACTCAGTTCCTCACCCATAGCAGCATATTTTAAGTGTTCAACAACAACATGGGAATAATAATGACTCTATTTTGGTATTGTATACACAAATGTTTGTATCATTGCAGAAAGTCCTTTTGGACACAACTTTCTTCTAGACGCAGGGTAGAGTTCAAGATACCCTGGTTCATCCCTTTTGCCCTTCCAGATCAGTTCCCGACAGCAACCACACTGGGGTGGACTCCCTGTGTAACTTTTCACCACTGGCTCGGAGACTGGACAAGGTTGCCATCTACGAGGAGTTCTTGAGGCTGACCCGAAATGGTACCCAGCTGCAGAATTATACCCTGGACAGAAACAGTGTCCTTGTGGATGGTGAGCTTCCTGGTCATTGGGGCGGGAGCAGAGGGTTCCACATGGGGCCTTTCCTGGGAATCTGGAGACTTGGGGTAAAATCAGCATTAAACATTTTTTAGGCTGTAAGGGGTGGCATAGTCTCCCAGACTTTACCCACCATTGAAGGAGAGAAAAGGACACCTGGTGGGATATTGGAGATACTCACCCTCTCAGATATAGCTCTGTGACTTCAGCCTAGTCTCTTCCCTTCTCTGGATTTTATTTCTCGTCTCTGTACTGAAAGTCACTTGGCCAGAAGGTCAGTAAGGGCCTCTGGCTCCGAGCTGTGTATGAGCCAGTCTTGACGGGCATAGGGGATGGACCTCTTTTCTTCCTGACAGGCTGTATAAAAACAGTCAGTGGACCTGACTTGGCCCACAGGCTGTCTTTTGCCAAGTTCTGCTCTAGGTCAGCACCATGCTGTAGAACTTTCTGCAATGATGGAATGTTCTTTATGTGTGCTGTCTAGTACAGCAGATATATGTGACTATTGAGTATTTGAAGTCTGGCTAATGTGACTGGATTTTACAGTTACTGACTTTTAATGTTACCAAGGTACCAGATTTTTAATTTTATTTAATTAAAATAATTTTTTATTTTAGTTAATATACAGTGCAGTATTGGTTTCGGAAGTAGAATTCAGTGGTTCATCACTTACATCCAACACCCAGTGCTCATTACAGCAAGTGCCCTTCTTAATAGCCATCACCCATCTATCCCACCTCCCACCCACCTCCCTCCTGCAACCCTCCATTTGTTCTCTTTTGTTAAGAGTCTCTTGTGGTTTATAAGAAAAAAGAAAAAAAGAGAAAAGTTAAAATTATGTTTAATTTAAGAAGCTACTTGTAGCTGCTCCATATTGGACAGCACATCTATAAGAAGTTGGCTGGGGAGAGGGTGTATAATAGGGGGTCCTGAAACCCTCCCCCATGCCCGGCAGGTCCCTATGTGTCCCTACCCTCATGGGGTTTATGTTGCAGTTGGCAATAATAAGGCTATTATTATTATTATTATTGAAAATTATAAATTATTTGATATGAAATAATCCATACTTGGGAGTGGCAATCAGAGAAGCCTTCCTGGAGGAAATTACACTGCAGGTGAATCCTGGAAAGTAAGTATAAAGCAACTTGGTAAAGGAGAAGGGGGTGAATGTATTCCTAGGCAGAGAAGAGAGCATTTGAGAATTTACAAATTTGGAGAGATCCTTTGAGCTTGCCAACTATGATGACCCATTCTTCCCCAAACCATCATAGGATGGGCCAGCCCAATTTCAGTCCTACTTGGCCACTGTATGAGTTTGGTTTCATTAACTATACTCCTGTAGTGTGATAATAGCCTTGGATGATGTAGCATGGGTGAACATCATAATTTCTACTTCAACATTTCAGTGAAAATATAAAGCAAGGGTGGTGAGTGCTGATAATTTATACATTGGATGAAATATTGTTTTAATTGGGTGAAATATACATTGTTAAACTTAGGGGATGTATGTTTATAATATTATTTTATTTTCCTGTTTATTTGAAAAGTTTTATTTAAAAAGCATAAAACAATGGGCACCTGGGTGAGTCAGTCAGTTAAACATCTGACTTCAGCTCAGGTCATGATCTCACAGTTCTTGGGTTCAAGCCCCGCGTCGGGCTCTGTGCTGACAGCTTGGAGCCTGGAACCTGTTCCGGATTGTGTCTCCCCCTCTCTCTGCCCCTTCCCAGCTCACACTCTGTCTCTCTGTCTCTCTCAAAAATAAATAAACTTTAAAAAAAATTTTAAAGCATAAAACAAGCTCATGTGCTTTCTCCATTTCATTCACTTCCAGGGTATTCTCCCGACAGAAATGATGTCTTGACTGAGAGATCAGGTAAGCCTCAAAGAAGCCCCAATCCAGATTGGGGAGGGAATGTCTTGATGCTGTACCCAGTCAAAGAGACCCACGTACCCGGAGTCTTAGATGATGATGAAAGCTAGCCAAGGCGTGTCAGGGACTTTTAGGCACAATGCAGAGACAGCGGGAGCCCTGGGAAATGACAGGAGGTGTCTAACACCAGCACTTATCTCCCCAGACCTCCCCTTCTGGGCCATCATCCTCATTTGCTTGGCAGGACTCCTAGTGCTCATCACATGCCTGATCTGCTGCTTCCTGGTAAGTAAGGAAGGGATGCTTGTCTTTATATTATTGGGTTGTAAGAGTTCTTTATATTTTATAATTACATGTCATTTGCTGGGAATATGTTTTGTGGATTTTTCTTCCCGTCTCTGTGTGGCTTGCTTTTTCCTTTTTTGTTTTAATTTTTTTTTTATTATTGAGAGAGTTAAAGAGACAGAGCACGAGTGGAGGAGGGGCAGAGAGAGAGAGGGAGACACAGAATCTGAAGCAGGCTCCAGGCTCTGAGCTGTCAGCACAGAGCCTGATGTGGGGCTCGAACTGGTGAACCACAAGACATGAACTTAGCCAAAGTCAGACACTTGACCAACTGAGCCACCCAGGTGCCCCAATTTTTTCTTTTAAAACAACATTAATCATTAGGGAAATGTAAGAGAAAGTTATAATGAGATATTGTGACACACAAGGGTGACTAAAATTAAAAAGGCTGACTATAATAAGTGTTGGTGAAGATGAGGAACAACTGGAACTTTCAAATAGTGCTGGTGAGAAATAGCTTGGACACACCATTAAAGGTCACATATACCTACCCAGCCATTCCACTCCTAGGAATTCATGCAAGAGAAATAATAAAATAAAATATCCCTTGGATAAATACCTAGGAGTGCAATTGCTGGGTAATAGGGTAGTTCTATTTTTTTTTTTAATTTATTTATCTCTAGGAGAGAGAGAGACAGCGTGAGCAGGGGAGGGTTAGAGAGGGAGGGAGACACAGACTCCGAAATAGGCTCCAAGCTCTGAGCTGGCAGTCAGCACAGAGCCCGATGCAGGGCTCGAACCCACCAGCCGCGAGATCATGACCTAAGCGAAAGTCGGACGCTTAACCGACTAAGCCACCCAGGCGCCCCGGGTAGTTCTATTTTTAATTTTTTTTTGAGGAAACTCCACGCTATTTTCCAGAGTGGCTGCACCAGTTTGCATTCCCACCAGCAGTGTAAGAGTGTCCCCCTTTCTCTGCATCCTCGCCAACATCTGTTATTTTCTGAGTTAATTTTAGCCATTCTGATAAGGTGTGAGATCTCATTGTGGTTTTACTTTATATTTCCCTGATAATGAGTGATGCTGAGCATCGCATCATGTGTCTATTAGCCATATGGATGTCTTCTTTCAAAAAGTGTCTATTCATGTCTTTTGCCCATTTCTTCCCTGGATTATTTGTTTTTCGGAGTGTTGAGTTTGATAAGTTCTTTATAGATTTTGGATATTAACCCTTTATCCAATATGTCATTTGCAAATATCTTCTTCCATTCCATCAGTTGCATTTTAGTTTTGTTGATTATTTCCTTCTCTGTGCAGAAAATAAACAAAATAAAATAAAACAATTAAATTAAATTAAATTAAATCTATACAAAGTCATGTACATAGATGTTCATAATAACTTTATTTTAGTAGCCAAAATCTGAAAACAACCCAGAAATCCATCAACAGGTGAATGGACAAACTGTGGTCTATCCCCATGATGGAATACTACTCAGCAATAAAAAGGAATACACTGTAAATACATGCACTGACATGCATAAATCTCAAAATAGTAATGTGGAGAGAAAGAAGCCAGATACCAATGAGTACATGGTATATAAGCAAGTTGTTGAATGTAAGCTAATCCTGATAGTGGTGATGGTTCAAGTTATAATCAAAACTCATCAAATCATTTGCTCTACGTGTATGTGGTTCATTGTACATCAGTTATACCTCAATTAAGCTAGAGTTGTGTGTGTGTGGAGGGAGAGGGAGGGAGAGAGAGTGAGTGAGGTGGAGAGAAGGAGGGAGAGAATATGAATGGGATATCAGAGAAAATGGTAGAAAAACAAAGGGAAGAGAGAAGATGAGAAAGAGATAAGAGACAAGAGAAAGGAAAAGAAGGAGTGAGAGAAAATTATGTCGAGAGAGATATAGGAGGCAAGCCTCTGTGGCTTTGGCCCGTTCCGTCCCCAGAGCCCCGTGCAGCTGACCAGGTCATTCTCATGCCCTCTCCTTGCCCTCACAGGTCACCGTCCGCTTGCGGGAGAAGGAGGGAGACTACGAGGTTCAGCAACACAGCCTGGGCTATTACCTGCCACACCTGGACCTGAAGTTGCAATGACAGCTTCACCTGAAGCTCCAAGGGAGCTTGGCTGGAATAGAAATAAACCACATTGGTCGGACACAGCCTCTGAGCCCTTCTTGATTTGGCCCCTGGCTGGTTCCCAGGGGACCAGGATGAAAGGTTTCGCCTTTCACTAAGTCCTTGAAGGGCAACTGCAATTCTGTCTTTTGGTTTCATGCCATTTCGTCCCTCAGGGACACCAGAACTGGCAAAAGAGCCACTGACATTGTCATTGTGTAAAATCAACATCCCACCTCAGTGTGACGTTTCTCTTGCTAGACTCTGGGGAGCGCGGGAACTAGGGGCACGCCTCCCCCTGTCTCTGTGACAGCCATCACAGCCATCTCTGTTCCTCCATCTCGCCCCACCCCCAAAGCTCCCCTTATGCTGCCCCAGTCCCGGAGGCTTGGGCGCACCAGGACTTCCAGACCAGTCTGCCTCTGTGACTCCTCTCCCCTCGTGGGTCCCCCAATGTGGGAAATGGTCCAAGAAGGAAATGAGCAAGTCAGAAATGATGCCATAGTCAACATTGGCACTTGGAGCTGGGATCACTAGGTATCCAGAAAGCCTCGTTCCCGGAGTCATATCAAGACTGGAGAGAGATACAGGGTCTGCTTTGGATTTAAAGATAAATAAAGCTCATTGAGGGGGAAAAAAATCTAAAGACAAAGCCAGACAGTCTTTCTTCATCTTTCTCTGCACTGAATCCAACTAGAGCAGGGGCTCCCCAAGAAGCAGCCTAGAGCGAGCCAGGCTCGAGGCAAGCTGTGCTGTCCTGCCTTGGGTTTGTGGGAAGTTGGCCCAATCTCTACACACCTTGAAGACGACCACAGCTGAAGACACCCAAGGGCTGAGAAGTCACGGCAATACCACCCATTCATACTTAATTTGGTGTGAGCTTCACATCCTCGGTCCCAAGCAGTCATTCTCTGAGAATGTCTTCTCTGGGGATCATAATTATGATAACAAGAGTTACTGTTATTGACTACTTAATACCTACTGGGCAACATGAGTGGCGAGCTCCGCATGCATTATCTCTCTTTTACTCACCATCCTTGAGAGCTGCACTCCCATTTTATAGCTAATGATGTAGAGGCTCGGAAACACTAAATAGCAAGGAAGGAAAAAATTACTAAGAACCTAAATTAAACACTTCACCACACTATCTGTCAAAGAAGAAGACAAAAGCTTCTGAATATGGATAGACTTTCTGAAATATGGATAGACTCAACCTTGACCTGCCACAGGCCTTCAGTGAAAGAACCAGTAAAGAATGTTCATCAGGAAGCAGAAATGTGAACCCTGAAAAATGTAACAAGAGTCATGAGGAAAGGGGGAAAATCAATGTATCTAAATCAGTTTTAAAACAAGATGTTAGGGGTGCTGAGTGGCTAAGTTGGTTAGGCCTCCAACTCTTGATTTCGGCTCAGGTCATGATCTCATAGTTCGGGAGATCGAGCTCCATGTGGGGCTCTGTGCTGACAGCACAGAGACTGGGATTCTCTCTTTCCTCTCTCTCTGCCTCTCCCCTGCTCTCTCTCTCTCAAAATAAAGAAATAAACCTTAAAAAATAAGTAAACAAAACAAAATGTTAAAATACATTCTATAATTCCAGATGAGTACCACATGGAAGAATAGAAAAAATTCGATTTTTTACAATATTTTTTTAGTGTTTACTTATTTTTGGGAGAGAGAGAGAGACAGAGCACAAGCAGGGGAGGGGCAGAGAGAGAGGAAGACACAGAATCCAAAACAGTCTCCAGGCTCTGAGCTGTCAACACAAAACCCTACACAGGTCTCAAACTCACAAGCAGCAAGATCATGGCCTGAGCTGAAGTCAGATGCTCAACCAAATGAGCCACCCAGGCTCCCCAAGATTCAATTTTAAAATTACTCACTTCTAGGGAAGATAGAAATATCACAATTATTCTGTTATTTTCTATCAGTTCATCCTCAGAAATTGATGAATCCATGAGACAAAATAATGATGAAAAGGATTTAAATAATGCCACAGTAGTTGGTCTGAGGGTTGTGGGTTATTGTTAAACTGAATATTGCCCTGAGTTGGTCAGGCAAACAGACAATTAAATCCCAGCAAGCAGTGACTCACTGATAGATTATGATGCTGAAAACAGTCTCTCTTGACTGTTTTCATGGATCAGATTTTCAACATGCACAGATATTTAAAAAATAAGGAGAAGTCTGGTATTTCTGTTGAACTCTGAGTTAACGTGCTACAGAGAACAGAAAAATAGAGACCTACAACCATATCTTCTTTGAGATCATAGATAGAACAGCTTTGTGAGATATTATGTTAGAATCTGTGGGAACATTACACAAAATTAACCAGGCAGGATTTACTCTGACTGTGAGGCCAGCACCCTAAATAATCCCATGACTTTGATAATTCTCTGTGGATTTAAAAACACAAATAAATGACATACAAAGTAGAGAAAAGCAAGCATACAACGTGGGAAGGAAAGATCCCCTTTCTCTCACCTGACACCCAATCTCGCAGCTTAAAAAGATCACGGTCTTTATTGTGTATGTCACACATTATAATTTAATACCAGAAAAGTGGCGGTATATACTAAAGTTTCAAGGGCTCAGGGCACAAATATACCAGGGACATTGCCAAGAGACGTTAATTAGGTGCTGTGCTCCATCTCATCTGCACCAGGCTCTCCTTCTCTTTCATGCTGGTTTTCGAGATGTCCTTCTTGGCTTCTCACTTTTTCCGCCTCTCTAGCGAGTCTGTCTACAGCCAGCGCCATAGCCAGCCTTTCCCTGGCTATCTTCACTTTCTTTTCCTGTTTCCCGATGTCCTCCTCGGTCACCAGAAATTGTTTGCACAGGAGCTGCGGGATACCCAGACCGGCTTCTGGAACCATCTTTGCCAAATCGGAGGACCCAGCGGGGGTGGGCACGGGGCTGGGGTTCAGACCGCCTGCAAGAACACCTGAAAGACATCCCCCGGCGCAGCTCGGTGCAAGCGCTTGCAAGGCTTTGGCAAGGTCCAAAGTGCTTAATGGTTCCCCTGCGCTGCTGCAGGCCTGGAGACCTTGCAGCCTCTTTTGCCAGCACACCTGTTGGGGCTTGTCCAAGGTTTCTTCCCAGTGATGGCACCTGACCTCGTTGCCAGGATGGGCTGTGATTCTGGTAACCGGCGTCTTGAATATGTAACTGGACATCCTCAAAGGGATTGAGACACTTAAGCGAGACTTCAGTTTGGGTTGGTTTCCGCAGTCATGTTGCTTCCTCTGTGAAGGCTTGACCATCATACTTCTTTTCCTTTTGTCCTATAAAAATAAGTCATGAGGTTGGATTAAAATGATAAATGAAGCCTGCCCTCTTCGGAGCGTTATATTGGGTATCTTGTACGTCCGCCTTCCTTCTCTACCTCTGGGGATAGATCTGACCTGTGTCCATCATCAAATAGATTTGGGTCAGAACAGAAAGTTCAAAGTCAAAACTCAGGATCTACTCCAGATCATTTCTCCTCCACCACCTTGTAAGCCGCTCTCTGTTTTGATTTATTCTCACGTGTCCTTGTAATTCTCCACCACACAATTCCTGGCCCCCCTCTCTGGACACACAGTTGCCTAGTCTTTCTCTAAGTCTCCAGCCCACAGACTGTTCATTTGGTCAGCCACGGACCTCCTTAGTTTTCATAGCTCCTTCAGAGCTTAAACCAATAGTGAAATTATCATCTGCCCCCTTCTTAGCAACCCATTCCTATATCCCAGACATTTACATCAACTGAAATGGCTGCGATCAAAAATAAATAATTCAGACATATTCGCCCACCATAAATTCCTGATTTTCAGTTTTCACTCAAACACTCATACAATAGTTACCTGTCCCTCAAGATCGGAAGTGATGCCAGATCAGCATATCCTCACCTTACTTTCTCCCCTGTTCCTATCACTCTTGGATTCCATGGTCTATGATCTCAGTAATTCCATTGGAACAGTCCAGAATTCCTTAATGCTTATCATATCTGCCTTATAAAACTTCAAATATGGAAGACCCTGGTTATCTGCCATGCCATAGATACTACTGGTCTTAATGATAACTGCTGAGAGCACACATATTTTGGTACCACTATTAATCCAAAATCATCAGCATCCAACGAGAAGCATCCATAATGCCTGGAAATTCTACTTTATTTTCATGCGTTGGCATTTTTATTCCTTGATTTTTCACAAAGCTTGTTTCAAACATTCCCTGCTTTTTGCATCATACATAATCATGATCCCCTAACTTGCCTGGTATTTCGCAGAGAAAAGGCTCTCTCCCTTCCTTCCCCTTCGTTGTGAGCTGCTGAGTAAAGGCCCTCTACATCATGTGCCTCTGGAGCCTCATCTTCAAGAACCCCCTCAGGCCACCCCCACTTTTCCATCTGCCCTCACCAGTCTGTGGGTGCTGCCTTGATAAGGTCACAATGACTCCTTTGTTACTAGACCCAGGAGGAAATTTTCAATGTTCATAGGACATGATCTTTAAGTGGAAAACTTTTATGTGTGCAACAACTTACATACCTGACTCCTATTTCACACCTGTGAATCATCAACAATGTAAATACAGAGCCAGTACATCCAATAATACTCAACTTACAAACAGATTGTGTGTTGTAAGTGGAAAGTGCAAGCCGGATTTCTGATAGCACACAGAAATACGTAAACTGCACTGATTGCATGCACAGATGAAAAATATCTTGGTTATAATGTTTTAAAATATACTATTAAAATTACTTATACATGTTTTTTTTATCTTTTAAAGGTGGCTGCCAAATAAAAATTTTAAGTCCATAATAATAGGGTGCTTAGTGGTCTTATTGACACCACTTATTAAGCCATGTGTAAAAATAAAGCCTAGAGCAAGATGTCTGGAAAAACTTTTCCCAAGGAGAGGAGTCTATCCTGACCCCACAACAAGATGCAGCATGTGCACACACACACACACACACACACACGCACACGCACACACACACACAGTCCCCAAAGCAGACATCGGCCCCAGAATATCACTGCTACTTCTCATATGCCATGAGGTTGCACTCCCACATAGTCCAAACTGGACTTGATCTCAAGAGAGACGTCAGAAGGTAGCATAATTTACCAATTATGAAGAGCCAAACCAGAGACTAAGCGTCAAGACTTTTTGTGACTTGTCCATCCCTGGCTTCTACTGTAAATTCAATATGTTTGGGAATCTTTTCCAGGGAGGGTCACTTTTTAAAATACACAGTAAATGTAAATAATAATTACTCTAGCCAGTAAGAAAAAAGAAAGAGGCTAGCACATGAAAATCATTAATATTAAATCACTGCTGGATTTGTGAGTCAGTCAGGGAACAGATGAGATTGGATGACTTGGACTCATTAGGCTGATTCTGATTGCATTTGTTGACATGAAGAAAACCTCTAGCACACAGTTAGCAGGGCCCAAGAAGCCCCAGTAATTCCTGGGTAGAATCAGAGAAGAGGACACAGGACAGATCAGGTGAGTTTGGGTGTGACTTTGCTTGGGAATATCAATAGGATGCTATGTGTGAAATAGGTAATGCATTCATAAATGTTGTTCATTCATTTACCTATTGCTTGTTATTGAGAACTTTCTACACACATCAAGGCACTTGTTCCTGCCCTCTGGAGCTTACAGTCAGTGCCAGAAGAATTCATAAATATTATATATAATATACAGATACAGCACTTGACAGTGGTAGGTGTTCTAAGCATTTTTCAAACATTAACTCCTTTAATGTTCTCCATGACCTTACAAAGTAGGTACGTGTGTTATTATGCCAGTGACAGATGGGGAAACTGAGGCACAGATAAGGTAAGCAACTTGCCCAAGGTTGAATATGTAGTAAATGGAAGAGCTGGAAGTCAGGCCTGTATTGAGAGGTATTCTGTCCTATGTGCCCTTCCTGTAATTCTCATCTCTGCGTTTATATATCAGACACATGTGCCACCAGCCCACAGACGTTGCAAGTATTATCTTATATATACCTGGCGCTGTCAACAGGCAGTAGTTATTAGCATGAACCCCATTTTTTAAGTTTATTTATTTTTGAGAGAGAGAGAGAGAGAGAGAGCACTAGCAGGAGAGGGGTGGAGAGAGAGATAAGGAGAGAGAGACACAATCTGAAGCAGGCTCCAGGCTCTGTGCTGACAGCTCAGAGTCTGACATGGGGCTCGAACTCATGACCTGTGAGATCATGACCTGAACTGAAGTCAGATACTTAACCAACTGAGCCACTCAGGTGAACTTAACCAACTGAGTTCACCCCATCGTGAACCCCATTGTATAGTTTGGGAGACTGAAGAGGCCTCCAGTGGCACAAAGGCTTTTCCAGGACAAAAAAGTGACAGAGAAAAAGGAGGACTGAACTCAGCTCTGTCCCCTCCAAGCCGGGACCCTGGTTGCACTCCCAAGGAGCAGTGGGGTGGGCTGCGTCGGATATTTGTGTACAGTTACTGAGGTGACACAGCCAAGGAGGGTGATTAGTCAACTGCCCAGTAAGGGCTTTGAGGGGGGTTTCAGTGGAGGAAGGGGCCCAGGAAATGGGATCTTAAAGAAGCAACCGCACCTCCTTGGTGACAGACCTGAACAGAACTTGGTCACCGGGCACCCACATTCTAGAGACAGCCCCTCATCCAACTCCCTTGACCAGAGATGCTCAACAGAGCAACATGTGGTCCTATCATTTCCCTATTTTCCGAGGCTCTGACCTCAGGAAAGCCAAGAGTGAAAGCTTTATCAGTCACTGTAGATGTTGACTCAGCTCTTATTTCCAACACCTCTGGTCATTTGGTGCAAGGTGCCCTAAGGTAACACAGGGCGGCCCAGGCCAGTCCATAACTGTGGTGTCACCTGGGCAGCCCCACAGCCCTTACCCCCTCCTGTGTGTGGTGAGGGAAGGGGGTAAGGCAGGAAATGAAGTGGTGTGAAGGAGCAGGTTGTTAGGTGTAGCATGACCCGATCATCTGTCATGTTCGTACCCCAGGTCATGGCTGGCAGGATGGAAAGGTGACTTCTGGGTACTAAGCACTTCTATCCACATGTTAATCCCGACTCCCAAGGTGTCATCTGCTTCCCTCCCTAGCTGGAGGTCTATACAGATGCTTCTCTGTGCTGGATCTTGGGAGCAGCCCTGGTGGGCCTCATTTCCTCCTGCGGTATTGTCCAAGCAGGACCCTGAAACCTCCTCCCGGGCTACCCTTCAAAAGCTTTCAGGATTCAAATGGGTCCCAGTGGAAATAAGCATTCAGGTTTCATCTCCTAAGTCTATGTCACATTTTTAAGCTTTTGAACCATAAACCACTCAGATACATAACATTGAATGTTTATTCATTCAGATATTGGAAAACATTCAAATTGTTTTACCTTTATCAGGGGATTTTCTCTTCTCTTTTTAAGAGTCCCTGTCTACGACTACCCTCAGCCGTCAAGATCACAGCTAGGTGTTCTGTCTTGGATTAATGGCTGTCCTCAGGCTGTGCTCGTAAATTTAGCCGTGTCTTCCATCATTGAGTACATGGTAAGCGTATCTTCCATGGCTTCAGCCGCTCCTCAGGCCTGGAAAGCTCGTTTCCGAAGAACTTTTCAGACTTCCCTTTATGTACCTTCCGTGTTTTGTTTCATCAACTGACAGTATAAAGATTCATATTTGGGTAAAATATCTAAGTTATGCATGCTTTATCCATAAACTATTTAGAAAAGTTTTTAAATTTAAATTTTAGCTTCAAAACTTTTCTGAATTCAGACATTAGCCAAATTTTAAAAGACGTAATATATTCTCCTCAAACAATTTTAAATAATCGTTTTATAGCTTACTTGAAATGCTAACTTTATCAAATACTAAACTTCCCTATATACAAGGGATCGCTTCTGGAACCCCCATTTCCCTCTTCAATTTCTTGGGATTTTTCCTCCCATGACAAATTTTAAAGGATCTTTTGGCGTGTTACTTTTCCATATCCTCCCTTGTGGTTCGTTCTTGACCCCCCAAAAAAGTTCTTCTATTTGAAAAATTTTGCTTCCTTTTGAGGAATTTGAGAATCAACATCTCCACCATCTAAAAATCATAGTATGGGTCTATTCTAACTTTATTACATTGAATCAAATATTTGGGGTGAGAATGAGCTCTTTACAATATTGTAACCATTGATAAATACAGTATATTTTATTTAATCACTGATTTTCTTTCCTTTTTAATATTTTATCATTTTTTATATTATCTATCACATTTGCTTTTGAATTTATTGATGTTATTATTGTCATTATTACCTTATTTCTGATTGCTTTGAGTTTATTTTCCTCTTTAAAATTTCTTGAGGTGGGAGCCCAGATTATTGATTTCAGACATTTCTTCTTTTCTTTTTTTTCCCCCTAATGTTTATTCATTTTTGAGAGAGAGAGAGAGAGAGAGACAGAGAGAGAGGGCATGAGCAGGGGAGGGGCAGAGAGAGAGGAGGACAGAAGATCCGAAGTCGGCTCTGTCCTGACAGCAGAGAGCCCAATGTGGGGCTCAAACCCACGAACCATGAGACCATGACCTGAGCTGAAGTCAGATGCTTAACAGACGAGCCCTCCCAGGTGCCCCATACCACATTTTCTTTATTCTTTTATCCAACAATGTGCAATTAGGTTGTTTCAAACTTTGGCTATTGTAAAAACTGCTGCAGTGTGTTTTCTTAAATGTTTTTCTGGAACTTAGTGAGATTGAAAAAATTTTTTACTTTTCTAAATTTCTGAAATTTAAATATTTGCCACTCTATAGATAAATCTTGCCTAATTGTGATTTGTGTTGATATCAGTTCATTAGTAATTTAAGATTTTTTTTCATCACACATTTTTCCATAACAGCCTTGTGTGTGTGTTCAGGAAGTTTTCATATGATACAGGGATTCCCTAATTCTTGACTATTTAGTAGCGTTTTCTAGTAAACCTTTAGGATAGGAAGTATCTTCCTAGGTCTGAGGCCGAGAGCAGAAAAATAGTAAAGTGATTGGTCTACTTAACTATATTCAAAGAAAACTGTAGTTTTATTAAATCATTTTTTACATACTCTTTGCTTATTTGTTAGAATGGCACATATTATTTTATTAGTGAAAAGAGAATTCAATAAGCAGTCTTAAAAGAAGACAATATCTATTGAGAATTTCTATGAAACACAAAAAGTTTAGCAATATGCTACCATCAGTTTCCTCATCTGTAAAGTGGGGATAGAGATAATAGCATTTTTCTTATAGATTTACTGTGAAAACACTCAGGACTGACGTACATAAAATGCCTATCATCATATACATTGGAAAGTAATGCTCTATTCATTTTTCTACAAGGATGATTATAGCTTTTTTTTAATGCTTTAAGACTGAAGTTTTCAAAATATATTCTGTTGTTGCAAAGTGAGTCATTTTTATAAATTCTTCCTACAGTTTGAGGACCCCTTTCGACTACAGATTCAGGCTTCTGTGTGTATGCATGAGTGTGTGTCTGGCTATACACCTATACCTCAAATAATACTTAAAGCCTTATAATGAAAAGCTGCCCTTCTCACTCTTTTCTGACTCCCAGAAACAACTTCTTTAGTTTTCTGGTTGTAGCTCTGTATTTCTAAATGAGTTCGTTATACAGTATTGTCATTTTTCAGCTTTCGACTTCTCTAATTACTTCTCTGAAAAAAATAGCATGTAGTTCTCTTACATATCTTAAAACACAATTCCCCTTGTCTGATACAATTATTATAATGAGTTAATATAAACCAAAATTCAATGTCTATTGTTTTATTACATAAATGTTTAGCACTTTATGACATAGGAATCCTATCCATTGATACACCATGTAGGATATTATGAAGACATTTCTTGTTTTTTCTTTTGACTTTAAAATGCTTTAAGTTTATTCACTTTTGAGAGACAGAGTGTGACCAAGGAAGGGGCAGAGAGAGAGGGAGATACAGAATTTGGAGCAGGCTCCAGGCTGTCAGCACAGAGCCCAACGCCAGATTCGAAACCACCAATCTTGAACCCACCAATTGTGAGATCGTGAGATTATAATCTGAGCTGAAGACAGATTAGTAGAGTATGGAGTAATCTCTCATCCTTCGGCGCAGGGTTTGCTGGCCATTCCCAGCACAGACACATACATATACATACTGTATCTAAAATGATGGAAGAGAAATTATCTCTGGGCAAAGGACTGGGAGACCATGCTGGGAGTGAGGCTATTTTACAACCTTTGTATTACTTATTAAAGTTTTCCTGTATGTGTATGTATGACCTAGTACCCTCCCTGTCCCCTCAAAATTCTTAAAATAGCGCTAAGGCAAGTTGTAGAGAAATGAATATACATATGATCCCATTTTTAAATAAATTAAGACAGCAAATATGCACATAAAATTAAAAGCCCTAAATATGGGCATGTCGTTCTACGCGTTATGTGAAGCTGTGTGAACTTGCAGAAAGGATTGCAGAAAAGTTTTCTTGCGCTTCCTGCGGCTAGTACAGTCTAGGGATCCACGGGAAGCCCCGCCTCCGGCCCCGCCTCCGGCCCCGCCTCCAGCCCCGTCCCGGGAACTGATTTCCTCCCACTGTCCCCGCCCGCCCGCCGGGCCTATTCCAGCCACATCTCTGTCCCTGGAATTGGTCTCCACCCACCGTACCGCCCCTCGACTACAACCCCGCCCACAACCCCGCCCCGGAACTTGTCTCCGCCCACCTCCCCGCCCGCCGTCACCCTGTTCCCGCCCACAGCCCCACCCACAGACCTGATCTCGGCCCGTCTGCCTGGCGCCGCCCATAGCCCCGCCCCGAGGACTGGTCTCCGTCCCTGGTGCTGACGCAGCCCAGGGCCGCGGGGCCCTCCCTCACTGAACTAGAAATCCTCGCCTCAGGCCGGGGTGCGCGGCGGTAGCCCCCGCCCGCCCCAACCGGAGCCCCTAAACGTCCCTCTCCGCGGCGTTTCGACAGAGACCGGAACTGGGGCGCGAGGCGGCCAGCCCGAGACCGGAAGCGGAAGCGTGGGGCGCTGCCGTGGAAGGAGCCTGGGGGGCTGGCTGCGTGCGGTGCACTGTCTTCTTCGCGCGGGACCGGCTTCACGTGGTATGTTTGGCCTCAGTGCGAGGGGCCGGACTCGGTGCGTAGCGGGCAGTCTGGGGGCTCCGGTAGGCGCCCAGGGAGGGCCGCGGGCATTCCCAGTCACGGGCTCTGGCGTCCCCGCGTCCCTCCGTCCGTAACCGGAGCCCCGTTTCCTCCCTGGGCTGTTTCCTTGGGTCAGTCCCGGGCTGCGGTCCCTCCCGACTCCGGGCGCCGCTGCCTCCTCCTCCCCGCCCCCCCTCCCCAGTCCCCCAGAGGACTTTCAGCAGTGTCTGGAGGCATTGTTTTGGTTGTACCAACGGGGATGTGGGGAGGCCAGGGATGCCGCCGAGCATCCTACAGTGCATGGAACAGCCCCCACTACGAAGCGTTATCAATAGTGCCGGGATCGGGAAATCCTGCTCTACGGCCTTAAAAGCTCTGAAGTCCCGATCAAAGTCAGCTGAGTCGCTTATCAGCCCCACTGAGTGGCAAGCCCGTGTATAAAGTGGAGTCACGGTAAAATCTCCATCCAGCCAGATGAGTTGAGCAAGTCACATGCACACCCAGAATGACACTGCTTTCTCCCACCTGGGTTGCAGACGGCTACATGGAAATCAGATAGATCCAGTCACGGCCAACATTTAACTTTAAGTAAGTGAAAACAAAACAGAAAAAAGATGAATGGGTGGTCTTTCCATCCAAGAACTGGTACTTCCTATCAAAAGGCTTCAAAAGCAACCTTTGTACCTTCCCCACCCCTCCACCCCCCAGTCTGTGTTAAAACCAGCTTCAGGATCCACCAGCCTTGAAGTCTGCCGTCCTCACTGGCCCGTGGATTTCTTGTGTGACCAGGTGAGTACCGTGAGGACCTAGGATTGACAGATTCCAGCACCTCCACTGTGCAAAAGCGCTCTTAGGGAGCTTTCCTGTGCTCAGGTTGTAAACACAAAGGGTCACTAAGAGTGAGGGTGTCCTAAGAAAAACTATTTGTATGTTCGATGGACTCCGTTCAAAGGAAAGATATTAAGGTGTGTGTGGTGACATAAGTGGAAATAGGCAGTAAATATACTCATATGCAAATAAGTACACATTAAACAAATATGTAAATAAGTGCGTGTAACAGTAGAGAAATAATTTTCTTGCATTTCATAATGCTAGAAATTTCAGGATTTTATATATATGGAAGCATAAAAATATATAAATTTTTTACCTGTACATATCAGATTACAAGTCATCCCATTAAAGAGGACTACTCACTATCATTCCTTAAACCCATTCAATTTGACTTCTTTTAAAAAAAATTTTTTTTTTAACGTTTATTCAATTTTGAGAGAAAAGAGAGTGCCAGTAGGGGAGGAGCAGAGAGAGAAAAGGAGACACAGAATCCAAAGCAGGCTTCAGTCTCTGGGCTGTCAGCACAGAGCCTGACACAGGGCTTGAACCCACAGACTGAGGATCATGACCTGAGCTGAAGTCAGACACTTAACCAACTGAGGCGCCCCTCAATTTGACTTCTAAAGCCCTACAATTCCTCCACAAAGTTTCAAAATATAGGGACATCTGGGGGGGGGGTGGCAGAGAAATGCTTTGAACTTCTTTCTGTTAGTAACAAAGTTAAAATTGAATTGACCAGGGGCGCCTGGGTGGCTTAGTCGGTTAAGCGTCCGACTTTCGCTTAGGTCATGATCTCGCGGTTCGTGGGTTCGAGCCCCGCGTCGGGCTCTGTGTTGACTGCCAGCTCGGAGCCTGGAGCCTGTTTCAGTCTGTGACTCCCTCTCTCTCTGACCCTCCCCCTGCTCACGCTGTCTCTCTCTCTCCTAGAAATAAATAAAAAAACTTTAAAAAAAAAAAATTGAATTGACCAGCAACAAGATGTATTTTGAAGAAGTGATTTTTATTTATTTACTTAATGATACATACAATTATTTGGAGGAATATACAACAACTTGTAGGTTGAAGGTTAGGGCACGGTCTTCACTACCTTGTCTTTTGGTGGACAAGGAATTCACTTTATTTCTTCAAACTTTTCTGAAATAACAGTTTGGCGATTTACATTGTAGAGGATTCTGTTAAATAATCTTCTAGTTAATTGTTAGGTTTTACTAATTATGTGTGTGTGTGTGTGTGCGCGTGTGTGTGTGTGTGTGTGTGTCCCTTTTCGTTCTCGCTTTCCGGTGATGTTCTGGAGGGGAGTGTTTATTTGTCACGCAGTAGGTGCTCTTTGAGTGCACAGTGTATAGCGGGCGACCAGCCATCCTTGTTTATTCGAGAGTGAGAGGATGGACAGGACACAGGACATGTAGTGTTCAAACCAGGACAGTTCTGGGCAAACGGGGATATCTCAGCAGCTCCAAGAGCCAGGCCCTGGGCCAGATGCATAGAGACCTTGGAGAACCAAAAAGACCCTTTTCTATGTCCCTGGAATTTACATTCTAATAGGGAATTGTGGTTTTAAACAGTTAATGACCGGAATGATGTGGGAGCTTGGCTCAGAGGACTCAGTGGCAGAAGCAGGGAAGCCTTCTGAGAAGGACTGATATTTTCCTGGAGAGCTGAGGTCGGGGTCAGGTTTCACTAGCTGTAGGGTTCGCTGGAGTGAAGGTGTGGGAGTATTTTCAAGAAAGCGTTTCAACCCCTGAGGCAGGAGAGAGCCTGGTGTTCTCCATCAGCTTGGAGGACAGGAATGGCTGGGCTAAGACACCGAAGTGGGGGGGGGGGGGAGGGAGTGAGCTGTCCCAGAGCAGGGCAGGCTGGATCAGATCAGTATTAGATTAGACTCTGGTCTAGGACCAGTGGAGACACACTGTAGAGGTGTGAACACTGGGGGGATGTGATCACAGTTGGTCTTTGCATCTGGGTTACAATGGACTTTCGGATTAAGAAGGAAGACTTAATGGGGCGCCTGGGTGGCTCAATCGGTTAAGTGTCCGACTTCGGCGCAGGTCATGATTTCGTGGTTCGTGGGTTTGAGCTCTGCATTGGGCTCTGTGCTGACAGCCTGGAGCCTGGAGCCTGCTTCAGATTCTGTATCTCTCCTTTCTCTCTGTTCCTCCCCTGCTAGTGCTCTCTCTCTCAAAAAGAAAGAAGCATTTAAAAAAAGGTAAAAGAAAAAACGGAAGACTTAAGAGTCAAGACAGGGAGTGGTAGGAAGAAGTTCAGGAATAAGATGACTGTTCCCTAGGCCTGGATGATGGTTGTGGAGGAAGAAAGAAATGGGAAGAAGAGACCCAGGAGTGTAGAATGGAGAAAATGTACAATGCCTTCATTCATGCTTGTATTTTGTCCGATGGCACAGGGCACGTACGATGCCCCTAGTTCCTGTCCCTTAAGACCCACAGGCATCCCCTCACCCGAGTCCGTGCTTTCTCCCCACTTTGCCACCCACAGGCCCCCTTGTCCGCATCCTGAAAGAAGTCAGGCCTGAGTATGTCCACGGCTGCCCTATCTGTGGTGGTGGCCACTATGCACCTGGAGCTATTTCAATTAAACCAATGAGAAATACGCTCAAAATTTCCTTTTCTCAGTCCTACTGGCCACATTTCAAGCACTCAGTAGCCACATGTGGCTTGCGGCTGCCAACTAGACAGAGCAGAACTAGAGGACATTTCTCTCATCCCTAAAAGTCCCATTGGGCAGCATTGATTACCGAGTAGCCCGTCCTCCAGCACCGACCTACATCCAGGAGCAGGAGTCATTGAATCTGTAAACTGAACAGAGGCCCCTTCTGCCCTCGTGTGAGATTTCACCTGCTGGAAGACCTTGACAGGGGACTCGGAGCCTAAAAGTGCCCCCAGGCACATTCTCAGTCTGCTTTTCCGCTTGGGGCTCTGGGGGTGGCTGGATCCCAGCCCTTTGACTCCTCAGTTCAGTGTCTGGGACTAACTGGGCCCCTGGTGGGGAGAAAGGAGACACCCTCCACCTGCAGAAGGTAAGCAGGTTCCACAGCAGCCGTCTGGGTCTGTTGGGCTCACAGCAAACCTCAGAGAAGATTTGGTGTGAGAGGCTGTATTCGTTTCCTGTGGCTGTGCTCACCACTTACCAGTGCTTAGTGGCTTAAAGCAGCACAGACTTCTGCCCTTCCGGAAGTCAGAAGTCCTAAGTGGGTCAGCAGGGCTGCATTCCTTCTGGAGGCTCTGGAGGAGAATCCTTGTCCGTGTCTTTTCTATCTTGTAGAGGCCACCTGCATTCCTTGGCTTGTGGCTCCTTCCTTCATATTTAAAGCCAGTGGGTAGCATCCTGAGATCTCTCTCTCTCTCTCCCCCTCTCTGACTCCTGTTTGTATCATCAACACCTCCTTCTTTGACCCTGACCTTCTTACCTCCCTCTGGTAAGGACTCTTGTGGCGACGTTGGGCTCACCCAGATCATCTCCCCATTGCAGGATCCTTTCCTTAATCATGTCTGCACAATCCCTTTTGCTATGGAAACTCACGTAGCCACAGATTCTGAGGAGTAGAATACGGACACCTTTGGGACACAGCCATTAATCTGCCTCCACACAGGCCCAGGAGGCAAAGATGCCCTGCAGCTCTTTCCTTCCACCTGGCCCAACCAGACTCTTAGTATCACGGTTCCCCTCCCTGCGCATACAGACCCTTTATTGCTTTTGTCTCTTGGGTGCAGGGAAGGCACACAGAGAGACCTCAGGAAGCTGGTGTTATGGAGTTACATTTGATTCCCCAACTCCAGGGAAAGGAGGCATCCATTCCCTTTTTATAAAAAGGAAACATTCCATATACACTACTTTGAACCTTGATTTTTTTCCCCACTTACATTTAGTGGAAGGGCACCTGGGTGACTCGGTCAGTTGAGCGCCGACTCTTAATTTTGGTTCAGGTATTATCTCATGGTTCATGGGCTCGAACCATGAGCTCCCTGTTGTCAGCACAGAGCCTGCTTGGGTTTCTCTCTCTCCCTGACTCTGGCTCATGTGCGCGCGCTCTCTCTCTCTCTCTCTCAAAATAAACAAACTTGAGAAAATATTTTTCAAATATTGGAGATAAGAATCTCTGTCAATACCTAGGGATCATCTCTTTCATTTTTGGCTTCATGTTTCTTCATTCTGTGGATATTCTGTAGTTTATTGCGCTAGTTCCCTATTGACGGTCAGTTGTATTGTTTCCAGTCCTTTGATATAAGTAAGCATGGTGAATAATCGCAGCCTGTCTTTTAGTATTTGTGTATCCTTGAGATAGGGTCCTAAAAGTATGATTGGCAGGGAAAGTGCAAGTGTTTTTGCATTTTGCTTTAAATTGACAATTTTCCTTCCTTAGGAATTGTGCCCCATTCATGTATGAAAGTGCCTTTCCAGACATCCTTGCCAGTAAAGGAAGTGGTCCATCAGGTCTTTGTCGATCTGACAGATAAAAAATGGTGTCATTGTAGCTGCACTCTGCATCTCTGTTATTATGAATAAGATCCTTAGTGATTCTATCAGGAGTGGGGTCCTTGAAATATTAGTGGTAGAAGCCAGAGTGTCCCGGGTTGAGGAGCCAGTGGGACATGAAGAGATGAGACAGTGAAACCCTTTGCCTGTGCTCAGGGAGAGAGACTGGTACCAGAAAGAAAACTGCCCTTAAAGTAGATTTATATCACTACTGAAAACACTGCATGGGGTTTGAATGGTGTGGGAGAGGGTCCAGTGGAGCAGAAGAGCTGGGGGCGCGGTGGGGGGAGGGGGGTAGAAAAGAGATGGTCCAGAGCGTGCAGCCCCTGAAACAGCAGGCAGGATGGAGCACAGATCAGAGCCACAGAGTCGACCTCACACAGGAGGGGACACAGCTCTGGGGTTGTAACAGGAGGCAGGGTGGAGACTGGGGTCACGTGGCCATTCGGGTGGCCGCACAGGAAGGAGATTCCTTCTCATGAAGATTATACCCTGAGAAGTACAAGGCAGGGCTGTCTGCTGAAAGGGAGGGTGTGTTTATCTGTTGCCCCCTAACAGATTGTCCCAAACCTCTGTGACTTTAAAACAGTAATGATCATGTATCAGTATCTCTCCTGGTCTTTGTGGTTCAGGAGTTCCGGACAGCTTAGCTAGAAGGTTCTGGCTCAGGGACTTATGAGTTTCCAGCAGACTATCTGCAGTCACCTGAAGCCTTGACTGGTGCTGAGGGTTCACGGCCAAGGCGATTTGCTCCCAGGTGGGCACATCAGTGGTGCTGTTGGAGGGAGGCCTCGGTTCCTCTCCAAGTCGGTCCCTCACGCACTCTGACGTCATCCAGGGGCAGTGGGGCTGGAAGTGGAGAGACTAATGGGAGTTAGCTACCATAATCTCCAGTAAATAAAGGGTCATACCTGGGAATGTCTTTGTGACAGCCACTTGGATGGGACGAATGTGCCCTGAGACTCAGGGAAGCTGAGGACTTACACGGGGCGGTACAGGCATGTCCTGGTCATACTGCATAGGACACAAGAGGACAGGCGTTGCCTTCACAAGCCCTGAGTGCATCACTTGCTAAGTAAAGACCCAATATTGGAGACCCCACTTGCATTGTGAAGGACGACCCAACGGGCTGGCCAAGACGGGTTGGTCCCCAGTAGCCCGCAGAGGGGGAGAGACTGAAGGCCTCCTGTTGTCCTGTTCCCTCCAGAGCCTGGCCTGAGAGTGCTGTGCGGACCAGAGGAGGAGCGTCCGGCTTCTTCTGTGGCCCGTTGTCCCAGAAAATTTCTGCCTGAGTCACAGGATGGCGGCCATGGTTCTGTCCCCCACTTGTGGTAAGTCGAGGGGCCCTCAGAGTCCACGCGTTAAAGGCCCCTGTACTACGGAGTGGGAAAGGAGGGGCTGAGCCTCAAAGCAGGAGTAGAGCCCCAGATCCTGGGGGTCACCAGTACCAGTACCCAAATCTTGGGATTTGGGATTTGGGTGGCTTGAGTGTCTGTGGAGATGCCACCTGTGTGGTGAATGTGTGAGAGCTAGGAGTTGTATCTCTAATCCTTTCTGTAAATTTGGAAAAATAACAGTGGTGTCCCTTGAACGTCAATTTCTTCATCTGTGAAATGAGACTAATAATCTCTTCCTCCAGGTCAGTAAGACCCTTGGTCCTGTTATCTGGCCCTGTGCCCTGGGTGAGACAGGGGTCTGCCCTGATGTCCTGTGAAAGCTGTGTGTGTGTGTGTGTGTGTGTGTGTGTGTTGTGTAGCAGCAGTCATGTGTGTGGCCGTGCGTGTGCATGTGGGGTATGGTCACAGACAGGCAGGTGGAGAAGCCTCCAGACTGGTGAGTGCTAGAATACACAGCAGTCCTGGGTGCTTCTGACTCACTTCTTCTCCAGCTCAGTCGTCCGTGTACTCAGCCTCTCCTCAGGGAGGATGCACAGAGGAGGAAGGGCTGGCAAAGGGCTTCCTGACAAGCTGGTTACCGGTAAGTGAGTGTTCTTTTCCAAATCGTGATTCCTTTGATCACAAGTTGAATTTGTTCTCCCTCAATGACCCAGAGCCTCATGGCCAAACCAGGTCTTCAGACAGCCCAGGACCTCCGGGCTTTCGAGGGAGGGTTAGGGCCACCCAGGCAGTGTCCGTGTTTGTCACCATTTTCTACATTGCAAAGCTTCCTCCAGGGTCACTGTCAACATCATGTTCTAGACAGGTTTTTTAGGGGAAACTAAGAAAGACCTGACTGTGTCCTAAACTCAAGTGATTGATGATAGCTATTGGAGAATCACTCATTCATTTACCAAGTATTTCTCTGATTTGTGCCATGTCCCCGGCCTATACTCAATACCCAGCCCTGCAGATTGAGGGAAGTAAGACTGACAGATTTCACAGTCTCACAGGAGTAAGAGAATCACCTCTGTGTTAGGAGCACATTTCACCTTGGAGTGGGTGTCAGTAGACAGGGAAGAGCACTGCAGCCTGAGCCCAGAAGCAGTTGAGAACAGAGCTCAGAACCCTGCCTACACATCTTGTGCTTTGGGTTCCCGGCCCCTCGTCCTGTCGTCCTCTGCCCCTTTCCTGTCCACTTGGTGGGGGTGGTCCTCCGCTAAGCCATGATGTTGGTGATGGATCAGGACTTGGTGACCTTCGAGGATGTGGCCGTGGAGTTCACCCAGGAGGAGTGGGCCCTGCTGGACCCTTCTCAGAGAACACTGTACAGAGATGTGATGCGTGAGAACTGCAGGAACCTGGCCTCGCTCGGTAAGCCTGACGTCATCCCTGCGTTCACTTCGTGAGTCCCGTAACAAGACTTTGTCTTGTCCTTTTTTTTTTAAACTGATGTGACATTCGTGTAACATAAAATTCAGTTTTAACTATTTAAAAGTTTTCTTTAATGTTTGTTTATTTTTGAGAGAGAGAGACAGATCGTGGGTCAGGGAGGGGCAGAAAGAGGGACACACACAGAATCAACCTCTGTGTCGGGCTCCAGGCTCTGAGCTGTCAGCTTGAACTCTTGGAACTGTGAGATCATGACCTGAGCCAAAGTCAGATGTTCAGCCGAGTGAACTACCCAGGCGCCCCTGTTTTACTTATTTTTAAGTGTACAATTCAGTAGCTTTTGACATAGTAGCCTTGTTGTGCAACCGTCAATGCAATCTAATTCCAGATCATTGTCATCACCCCTAAACCCCTTCCCAAGAAGTGGTCAGGACCCATCACCTTGCCCACTGCCCCCTGCCCCTTGTCACTCATTTGCCCACCGCTTCTGTGGGTTTGCCTGCTCAGGACCTTTCCTGGCACTGGAAGTGTAAACTATGTGAGCTCTTTGCTCTGTCTCCTTTCAGGCAACATAATTAATGTTTGAAGGTCTAGCAATGTCGCCCCACTTTATGGATTGGCCACATTTTAAAAATTCAGTCATTGGTTGATAAACATTTGGGTAGTTTCCATTTACTGGCTGTTGTCAACCATGCTGCTGCGAATACTGGTGTACAGTTTGTGCACACGTGTGCTTTCAGTTTTCCTGGGTATGTGTCTGGGAGCAGAATGCTGGGTTATATACTAGTAGGTTTAGCTTTTGAGGAGCTGCCAAACTGTTTTCCGCAACAGCTGACCAAGGTGGCAGGATTCCTGTTTCTCCACATCTGCCCCAACGTTTGTGCTTTAGATTGTAGCCATCCTCATGGTGATGAAGCCAAATTTCATTGTCATCCTAATTTGCGTTTCCCTCATGACTGAGGACATTGAACAAATTTTCATGTGTTGGCTGTTTGTAGATCTTCTGTGAGAAGTGTCTTTTCAAGTGTCCTTGGCCCAGTTGGAAATTCAGTGGTTTATCTTCTGTTCTTGGATAAATGTTCATTATATATTGTGATATGGGTCCCTTATGCAGAATATGAGTTGGAAATAATTTCTCCCATTTGGTGGTGTATTTTCATTTTCTTGATAGTGTCCTTTGACACACAGCAGTTTAATTTTTTTTCAAGTTTTTATTTAAATTCCAGTTAGTTAACATACAGTGTAATATTAGTTTCAGGTGTACAATGTATTGATTCAACACTTCATACCATGCTTGTGCCCATCACGATGAGTGTGCTCCATAATCCCTATCACCTGTTTCATCCATCCCACCCACCTCCCACTCATCTCCCTTCTGGTAACCATTAGTTTGTTCTCTGTGGTTAAGAGTCTGTTTCTTGGTTTTCCCCTCTTTCTATCTCTCTCTCTTTTTTTACTTTTGCTCATTTGTTTTGTTTCTTAAATTCCACATATGAGTAAAATCATGTTTTTCCAAAGAATACATCCAGATGGCAAACAGACACATGAACAGGTATGCATGATCACTCATCATCAGGGAAATACAAATCAAAACCACAGTGAGCTACCACCTCACACCTGTCAGAATGGCTAAAATCAACACCACAAGAAACAATAGGTGTTGGTGAGGATGTGGAGAAAGGGGAACCATCTTGCACTCTTGGCGGGGGTGCAGCCACTCTGGAAAACCTTTGGAGGTTCCTCAAAAAGTTAAAAGTAGAACTCCCCTATAATTCAGCAATTGCTCTACTAAGTATTTGCCCAGAGGATACCTAATTACTGATTTCAAAAGGGCACATGGACCTCTGTGTTTACAGCAGCACGATCTACAATACCCTAATTATGGAAATAGCCCAAATGTCCATGGACTGATGAATGGATAAAGAAGATGTGTATACACAAACACACACACACACACACACACACACACACACACTGAAATATTAGTCATAAAGAATGAAATCTTGTCATTTGCAATGATGTGGATGGAGCTAGAGAGCATTATGTTAAGCAAACTAAGAGAGTTTTAATTTTGATGAAGTCCAATTTATCTATATATTTTTTGCTTGTCCTTTGGTATCATACCTAAGAAATTCTTGCCAAATCCACCAAGGCTATGAACATTGACCCATGTGTTTTCTTCCAGGAATCTTCTGGTTTCTCTTCAATTAGGTCTTTGGTCCTTTAGGAGCTATTTTTTTATATGGCTTCATTTTTTTTGTCTGTGGTTTACCCAGTTGCCCAGCATTTCTAAAGAAGACTACTCTTTCCCCATTCAATTGTTTTTGCTGCCTTGTCCAAAGTCGTGTGACCACAGACTACAAATTTACACTCACTCAGTTCTAATCCATTGATCTGTGCATCTCTCCTTGTGCAAGTACTATGGTGTGTTCATTACAATTGCTTCAAAGTAAGTTTTGATGTTAGGAAGTGTGAGAATTCCTAATTCATTCTTTCTCAAGACTGTTTTGTCTGTTTGGGATCCCTTGCAAATCCATGTGAGGTTTAGGATCAGTTTGTCCATTTCTGCAAATAAAAGCTGTTGGAATTTTGGTAACGATTACACTCAATCTGTCCATCTCTTTGGTTAGTACTGTCATCTTAACAATATTAAGCTTCCCAATACACATCCTTCTGTGTCTAATTTTTTATTTGATTGTTATAATCAGAGAAAATACTTTGTATGATTTCATTATTTTTAAATTTATTCAGACTTGTTTTGTGGCCTAACATATGGTCTGTCTGTTCTGGAGAATGTACCATATGTTCTTGAGATGAAAGTGTATTCTGTTGTTGAGCAGAATATTTTATTTGTCTCTTAGGTCTCGTTAGTGTATAGGATTAAGTCTTCTTTTTCTTTGTTGGCCTTCTAACTAGTTGTTCTACCAGTTGTTGAAAGAGTGATGCTGAAGTCTGCAATTATTATGGAACTCCCTACTTCTCCCTTCAGTTCTGTCAGGTTTTCTTTTAAAGTTTTTTAATGTTTATTTATTTTTGAGAGATAAAGAGAAAGACAGCAGGGGAGGGGTAGAGTGAGAGGGAGACACAAAATCCGAAGCTGTCAGCACAGAGGCTGATGCAGGGTTCGAACTCACGAACTGCGAGATCATGACCTGAGCCGAAGTTGGACGCTCAAGCGACTGAGCCACCCAGGTGCCCCCCAAGTTCTGTCAGTTTTAAATTTAAGAATTCTGTTGTAATTGGTCTGTAACTGTTAAATATTCTGGATAAATTGACCTTTTTATCATTAAATAAGATCTTTCTTTGTGTCTTGTAACAGTTTTTGTCTTAAAGTCTGTTTTGCCTGAAATTAATGTAGCTACATTCTCTTTTGGCTGCTGTTTGCATGGAATCTATTTTTCCATCTGTTGACTTTCAGCCTCTTAGTATGTTTAGATGTAAATTGAGTCTCTTACAGAGAGCATATAATTGGATATTCATTATCTATTCTCCCAAAATCTGCCTTTTAATTGGACAGATTAATCCATTAACATTTAAGGTAATTACTGATAAAGACCTACTAATGCCATTTTGTTATTTCCTGCATGTCTTCTATCATTTTTGTTCCTCAATTCTTTCATTATTATTTTTGTGTTAAATGTTTTCTTGTGGACCATTTTGATTCCCTCTCATTTCTTTTTGTTTAGTTTTTTTTTAATAGTTGTCCTGAGGACTGCAATTAACATTTTAATTCATAGCAGCCTGTTTTAATGTAATACCACCTTTATTTTGATAGCATACAAAATTTTTGCTCTTATATACCTGCACACACACACACACACACACATACACACACACACTCATTTTCTATTGTTTTGTCACAAATTACATCCTTATACCTGGTGTGCCCATTAACAGATTTATAATTACTGGTTTAGGCATTTATCTTTTAAATCATATAAGAAAAGGAGGAGAGTTTCAAACCAAAAATCTAAGAGTTACAAACCAAAAATAAATAGCTAAGTATTATTGGCCTATGTATTTTCAGTCATCAGGTTCTTTATTTCATTGTGTGGATTGGCATTAATATCTGTTATCCTTTCATTTCAGCCTGAAAGTCTCCCATTAGTATTTCTTGTAGGGCAGATGTGCTCGTGCTCTCTGTGCCTGTCGGTGTAACTTTACAGCCGGGGTTTCGTAAACTTCTTGGTTGTGTACATTTGTGTCTTTGTCAAATTTGGGGAAGTTTTTGGCCATTATTTCTTCAATATTCGTTCTACCTCATTCTCTTCTCCACTAATGGAATTCCCATGATACGTATATTTGTATGTTTGATGGGATCTCTTGGGCTCTGTTCTTATATTCTTTCATTCTTTTTTCTTTCTATTCTTACAGTGAGGTAAATTGTCTTGTCTTCATGGTTATTGATTCTTCTGCCTGCTCACATCTGCTGTTGAACTCCTCTTGTGAACTCTTCATTTCAATTATTGTACTTTTCAACTCCAAAATTTCTGTGTAGTTTCTTTGTAATTTCTGTCTCTTTAACATGGGTTCTAGTCCATCAGAATTTGTCATGGTTTTCTTTAGATCTTTGAGCATTCTTAAAAAAGTTGACTTAAATTCTTTGAGGGGCACCTGGGTGGCTCAGTTGGTTGAGCGTCTGACTTCAGCTCAGGTCATGATGTCCTGCAAGTTTGAGCCCTACATTGGGCTCACTGCAGTCAGCCTGTCAGTGCAGAGCCCACCTCAGATCCTCTGTTTCTCTCCCTCTCTGTCGCTCCCCTACTTATGCTCTCTCTCTCAAAAACTAATAAAAAACATTTAAATTATTCGACTAATGAGTCTGCTATTTGGGTTTCCTTAGGGACAATTTCTACTATTTTTTTTCCCTATAATGGGCCATACATTTATTTCTTTGCCTGCCTCAAAATTTTGGTGTTGAAAACTGGACATTTGGAACATTATTACATGGCATTCTGGAATAAGATTTTTCTCTACCACCAAAATTTGTTATTGTTGCTTGTTGAATATATGGTTAGTGAATCCTCTGTACTAATTTTGTAATGCCTGTATTTGTCAAGTGTAGCCATGAAGACTGTTACGTTAGCTTCCCAGTTAGCTACTAGCTTATCAGAGATTTTCTTGGAGGCCTGGAACAAAAAGTAAAGCACCTGTAGTCTCTGTGGATGGGTTCTGTGTGGGTTTGTAGGGGAATGCCTTCCACATCAGCAGGTGGTTGACAATTCTGCTGTCATCTTCCCTTTCTGCCTGTGCAGAACCTGAGGGCAGCCAAAGTGGAGGACTCAGTGCTGTTTCAGGTCTCTTCTGAGCATGCGCCTGGCCCTGGCTTTCTAGATTCAAAGAAATATGAGGGAAATTTTTTTAAAAATCCCCAAAACATCTTATTCTATAGTTTTCCTCCCAGGCTTCTTGGTTAGTCTTTTGTTTTCCTCTATTGTTTCACTTGCCTCTCTTGGTGGCAGCTAATATATTTGCCTTTAAATGTGTTCAGCACTTGCCTAGTGGGTAGTCAGCTCAGCCTTTGGCAATTGGGATTAGATAAAGGCAAGCCTTTTGATCAAAACCTTCAGAGAGGTCAAAACAGACAACCACAGATCTTTGACAATACGCCCCTCCTGCTCACTGCAGTACTGGGAATGTGGGCTGTCATCTTCAAGGTCACAGCCAAAACAGCAAATAGAAGATTAGACAGGGGTCAGTTAAAATGTCAGCTGGTTGTTGTCCTTGATTAAACATTTTCCAGGTTGCTGTAAGCTTTTGGTAGTTTCCAAAGTTCTGATAAAGTTGATTCTGATGTTGTTCCCTAGTTCAGTCACTTGTTTTGTAGAGTTACGGACTTTGGATTCAACATCCCTTCATTTTCACTGTTGTCACTTCTCACAAGTGTTTCTGAAGCACTTCTGTGTTCCTGGGTCTGTGCTGGGTTTAGAAATGTAGTGATGAATGAGACAGACATGGTCCCCACCCTCCTGGAGCTTTCTGTCTGATGCCTTCCCTGTGAACTAAAGAGCTGTTCCTTACCCTGACTTTATATTCTCCATGGTTAAAAGTTTTAGAGCCTCTGAAGTATGTTATGTAAACTTGGACATGGACTTCAGGACTGTTTCTATTCTGTCACCTGGACATTGAGGATGCTTGAATTTTTGTTTCTTGTGAGTTATGATGTTCTTTAGAATGTATGCATGGCTATTGCACCGCTGCAGAAGTCATACTTGCTCATGTTCAGAATTGTTGGCCCCAGTTTCCTGGAACTTCTTGTCACCTGCACAGTCCCCCTACAACATGTGTCTTTTCTCCACGAATAGGGTATCATGTTGATAAACCCAGTCTGATCTCCCAGTTAGAGCAAGAAGACAAAGTGATGACAGAGGAGCGAGGAATTCTTCCAGGCACCTGTCCAGGTGAGCACCAGGTGGGCAGGCAGATAGGAATCCTCCTGAGGAATAGCTCAGGCCATCGATTTGGGGCGTGGGAATATCACATTCAGGAAATGTCAGTCAGGAAAGTTTGTAAAATGTCCTTTTTTTCTAACAGATGATGAAGAACATTTGGTATGAGCTTCTTCATGTATGTTCTTTCTTTCCTTTTGATCTTTCTGTTCAATATCTCATGCATTACCTTAGATCAGAGGGAAAAAAAGACATACCTCTTTTCCTTTTTTTTTTTTAAATGAAGTGTAGTTGACGTATAGTGTTACAATAGTTTCAGGTGCACAACGTAGTGATTTGACAAGTTCATAATTTATACTGTGGTCGCCACAAGTGTAGCTGCCATCTTTCATCAGATGATGCTAGTACAGTTCTTTTCCTTTTTAAGTTTAAATCTCATAGGATCATGCACTTTATCTAATTCTTTTCTACTTTGCATTCCTGATAATCCCTTCTTTTGTAAATCTCTGATCAGTCTTAATCCTTCTAGAATCCTTTCTTTAATGGCTACAGTTTTCATACTCACATCCCTTTCATGGCAGACTTCCTCAAAAACCCTGATCCCTCAGAGTCTGCCTTTACTCACGTATTCACTTTACTGTTCCTTTCCTCCATCAACTTAAATCTCTCTTCATTTTGTTTCAGGTTTGGAGACTGTACTTAAAGCCAAATGGTTAACTCCTAAGAAGCATCTTCTTAGAAAAGAACATCCCAGTGGTATTAAAGCGGTAAGACTAACCTGGCTGATTTCTGGGTTTTCACAGTAGGAGAGTAAGTTAGAAAAGCCACAAAATAAATAGAGTCATAGTATCATTTGCACATGAGGAAATTTTGTCTCTGGAGACATACTGTGAAAAGTTATGAATTTGTAGAAAACTCTAAGTTAGCCCCAAACTTGCTTCTTCACTGGGAGTTTCCACTTGTGAATATTTCCTTAAATGTGACTATGATATTGGTCATCGAAATATAAAGTGGTCTTAAGTTTATCAGAAGATGCTCTGTGAATATGATAAAGATTTGTGGCAAAGCATGCATCTTTTTTAACTTCTAAGAGCTCAAAATTGGCAGAAGCCATAAACAAGCAACTGAAAATAGCCAAAACATCAGTTATAATAATGCAACAGATTTCCTGGGAAAGAGAATTCCTATGACATACAATTCATTGAATATTAAAAATATTATAAATTATAGTTATTCATCTCTCAATCAACAGGAAAGAAATCATCTTGGAGTGAAAGTCAATGAATGTAATCAGTGCTTTAAAGTCTTCAGCACAAAATCTAACCTCACTCAGCACAAGAGAATTCATACTGGAGAAAAACCCTATGACTGTAATCAATGTGGCAAATCCTTCAGCAGTAGATCCTACCTGACCATTCATAAGAGGATACATAATGGGGAGAAGCCCTATGAATGCACTGACTGTGGAAAAGCCTTCAATGATCCCTCATCCCTTAGACTGCATGTGAGAATTCACACTGGAGAAAAACCCTATGAATGTAATCAGTGTTTTCACGTCTTCCGCACTAGTTGTAACCTCAAAAGCCACAAGAGAATTCATACAAGAGAGAATCACCATGAATGTAATCAATGTGGCAAGGCCTTCAGCACAAGGTCCTCCCTCACTGGGCATAATAGTATTCATACAGGGGAGAAACCTTATGAGTGCCATGACTGTGGGAAAGCCTTTAGGAAGAGCTCATATCTGACACAGCATATGAGAACTCATACTGGAGAAAAGCCCTATGAGTGTGATCAGTGTGGGAAATCCTTCAGCAGTAGCTTTTCTCTTACTGTGCACAAGAGAATTCACACTGGAGAGAAGCCCTATGAATGCAGTAACTGTGGGAAAGCATTTAATAATCTCTCAGCTGTTAAGAAACACGTGAGGACTCACACTGGAGAGAAACCCTACGAATGTAATCATTGCGGAAAATCTTTCACCACTAACTCTTACCTTTCTGTGCACAAGAGAATTCATAATAGGTGGATATGAGTACAATAACTAGGAAAGCATTCATTGATTTCTTAACCCTCAGACAACTGATGGTAACTTACCAGATGGGTGAGTTATCTGTTGCTGCATAACAAATTTCCATCCAAAACATGGTGGCTTCATACCACATACATTTATTATCTCACAGTTTCTGTAGGTCAGGAATTTGGAAACAGCTTCGCTGTGTAGTCCTGGTCAGGGATCTGTGTAGTCCTGGCCGAGGATCAGTCATGCGGTAAGGTCAAGATGTCTGTTGGAGCCACCATTGTCTGAGTCTTTACTGATAAAGAATCTACTTCCAGAATGGCTCACTCGCATGTCTAGCAAGTTAATGCCAGTAGTTGGCTGGGAACTTCATTACTTCACTCTCCAGAGGGCCAAGTATTCATGATGTAGCATCAGCTTCCTCCCAAAGCATTTGATCTACAGGAGAGCTAATGCAGAAGCCACACTGTCTTTTGTGACCTAGCCTCAGAAGGATATATTATCACTTCTTGCACAATGTATTGTGTACACAGTGTGGGAAGAAACAACACAGTGTATGAATATTAGGAGACACCATAAGGAACCATCTGGGAGGTCTGCCATGAAATCAGTGAAGAAAAGCCTTTAGCAGACTCTCATTCTTTCAATCTATTGTATATGAAGTAGCCTTCGGTAACTCATGTTAATTCACTCTGGAGAGAAACCTCGTGAATGCAGTCTTTGTGATGAGCGTTCAGCTCAAACTCCGCCTCATGTGCACAAAAAATTATGTATGGAGAGAAACCTGAGGGATGCAGTAGCTGTAGGAAAGCCTTCAGTGATATCTCCTGGGAGTCCTACAACAGTTCACACTAAGGGGAAAACTTTATGAATATTCTCAGAATGCAAAAGCCTTCAGCGACACTTATCCCATAGAGCACATAAGAGAATCACTACAGAGGAATTCTCCTAACAGGAATGTGGGAAACCCTTCAGCACAAGTGTTTGCATTACTGAGCAAAAGATGGAGAGATATTCCGAATACAATTACTGTGGGAAAGCCTAGAATGCTCTCAGTTTTTAAGGGACATGAGGATTTATTCTGGAGAGAAATTGCTGTCGAATGTCATCAGTACTGGAAAGTCATTTTTCCACATTCCTTAGGAAACAGTTCACTGCAAAAACACTTGTGAATATAAAGACTGAGGGAATGCCTTTAATGATACCTCTTACATTAGGAAAAATAGGAAGTTTTCTCTGGATGCAAAACTTGCGAGTGTATCAATTTGGGAAAAATCTTTCAGTGATTCTTTGTTGGTTTGTGAGAACTCACAGTGGAGGGAAACCCTAGATAAGTGGCGCCTCAGCTCTTTACTGAGTGGCCACAAAGTAAGTTAAACTGGGAATGGAAATTATAAATCTTGAGTGTGGGTTTACATTGATCAGTGTCTCATCCTGAGATCAGGCCACTAGTTCATTAATTTTCAGTCTTTTTGTTTTAGTATAAACACATCGATAGCCATAACCTAAAATAAATCTTAAATTATGTTCCATAGTTTTGTATGTAATGTTTACTTTAATTTACACTTTAAAAACATCAGTACATAGCATATCCAAAAAGGCATTTCTGAATATCTCCTGAGTGAATTAGTTTATCATTAGTGGCAATTAGACTATATTTACTATATACTTTTTCTAGTTTAATGGCTTTTTTGTCAGGTAAGTGGACTCTTTTTTATCTTTCTCCTCTAGTGTGCCCATTGTCCCCTGCTCATTTACCTACAAAGTGTTTTTGCTGTTGTTCAAGTTGTCAATGAGCAGGATTAAAAATATGCAATTTATAAGGCTTCTCTGAAACCCAGAGAGGTATTGCCTAGCTCTGCTGACCGTGAGGAGTCGGTAGAAGTCAGTGGGGAGAACGTCATCTGGCTTGTTTCCCCTCCACACATCCTGTTCATCTTACCCTTCCTTTCTCTTGAAAGTCGACTCAAGGCCAAGAGTCGGAAGTGCTATATTTTGGTCATAGTGACAAACACCATAATGCAGCAAACAATCACAATGATAGCCCCCCCCCCCCAAACCTCTGATTGGCGGTATCCGCTCTGGACTGCTTGTGTCCAGACTACTCCTTACATGATTAAGAGTAACCTCTAACTGATTGAAGCCAAAGTCACTTTTTTTTTTTTTTTTTGGGTTTGTTTTTAAGGTGGTGTTCTGTTCATGTCCAGCTGAATGCAATATCTAACTAGTAAACCTATTAGTTGGTCCCATTTTATAAGTGTTCCATGTTTCTTTGAAAATAATGTATATTCTCTAAGTTTTACATGTAGACTATGTGCCCATTAACTCAAGCTGATTGTATTTTCAGATATAATATGTACATTCAGATTTTTGTCCTCAAACTTACTTAGTGGTAGATGTGTATTAAAGTCTTCTTCTAAGGATATGGATTAACAATTTCTTTTGTCATTTCTGTCATTTTTTTCTTTATGTATTTGGATGTGTAACTAAGAACATTAAGAATTAGTTGCTTTCCTTGTGAACTGTTCCTTTTTATGTAGGGTCATGTTTTATAATGAAGTATTTCGGTACATTAACAAATGACTAAACATTTATGTAGCCCTTCCTATAGCTGAGGTACTCTTCTGAATGCCTTTTGAAAATATTAACTTACTGAGTACTCAGTGTAAGCTTAAGACATACTATTATTATCCCCATTTTACAGATGAGAAAACTAACATGATGTAACTTGCCTGAACTCACTGGCTAGTAAATAGGAGAGCCCAGGTTTGAACCCCATCTTAACCGCTAGTCTGTCTACTAAGTATGTTCTATATGGCAGGTGCTGTTTGAGACACTGGTGTTTATAGCAATGCATGAAACCACATTTTGCTACTGAAGCACATACATTCTAATGGGGAAAGACAGATTATAGAAAAATCAAGAAGACGTGCTATTTTAAGCGTTGAGCAGAAGAACAAAGCATTATAAAATAGTTAAGGGGAATTTGGGTCTTACCGTTGTATATAAAATAGGAAGGGAAAGCTAAGAGGTTGAGAGACAGTTGAGCAGAGACCTTAATGAGTTGGGACAGGGAGTCGTGAATTTGTGTGGCAAGAGCAGTCATGGCATATGCAAAGGCCCACAGCAAAGACGCCAACGAGACTGGGGTAGAACAAGCTGGGGATACAGTGAGGGTGTGGTAGAAGATGATGTGGTCAGAGACGTGGTGGATCTTGATCTTGTTGGGTTTTATCGTCACATTAGGACTTTTTGTTAAACTCTGAATGAGTTGGCATGCCAGTCAAAGTACCACCAGGAAACAACTGACCCAAACTGGGACAATTCAAGTAGAGTTTTCATAAAGAGGCTACTCACAGAGCTGTGGACAGGATGGAGGAAAACCACAAGTGGGTGGTGCCCAGTGGCTGGTAAGGACCGGGCTCTATTAACATCCCAAAACCTGAAAGAGTAAGAGAAGGGAACAATTACTGAAATCCACAAATGAACAGAAAGAACTGCATTCCAGGAGTTGGGTGGGGCTTGGGGGGTAAGCATCCAGCTCCACATTCTGCAAGAAATAGCCAGAGCTAGACTTCACCTTTCATCCTTTTGATTTCATGCCTAGTGTCCCCATTGACCAAACCCAACCAAAGGCCATAAGGCAAGGAATCCCACTGATGTAGTTCATTGTGATTAGTATTACTAGATTCAAAAGTAGAGAAAGTGGGTCCACTGGGGCAAATGGAAGCTATACAGAACTTTTCACCCCTTTTGCTTCTCAGAATCTACTTTGGCCAGTCACCTGGGTAAAAAGTTCATATACCTGAATTCTAGCAGGTACTGTACTGTCTGGGTATTGTCAAAGCATTGATGCTCCCACCTGTAGTCTAGAACAGTTGCCTTCACACGTGTTCCTCATATAAGGTGGGTCATGGGACTCTTGGGAGGAAGTCACAAAAAATAATTAACCTAGAAGCCCTACCAGCAAAGTAAGGGTCCCATTGAGCTTTATGATTACTGAGACCAGCACATGAGGGAAGAAGGCACCATGGCTTCTCTCATATGTAACCCAGATGATGTGGGGCTTCTGTTACACAGTAAGGGCAGAGAGGACATTTGGCACTCAGGTAAGCCTCTGGGATGTCTCTTGCCCCCATTTTTTTTTTTTTTTTTTTGATAAATAAATGTAGCAACTGTATCCTGAGAAGGTATGTTGACCAGGTGTTCAGACTCCTCAGGGGTGAGGATCTGGATCATGCCTCCAAGGAAGCCGCGTAGCCCAGCAGAGGTTGTAGTCAGAGGGGAGGGGAATCTGGGACGGGATAGAAGTCTGGTGGTTAAGTATCAGTTGCAGCACCTCGGGAGCGGTCTATAACTTGTTCCACCGACCTTCCTCTTATAAGTTTCCCCAAGCAAGACGACCAACCAGAACCCCATGTGTGTTTACTTTTAAGAGGCAAGTGCACCTGAGTGGCCTGAGTGTTGGGCCATAATGGAGATAGTGGTAAATTTCTCAGATTCTTCTCTCAGGACCAAGTCACTCGTTCCCGCAGCTGCTGGAAGTTGTGCTTGTGCAGCCAGGCTCTCAGGAATTCTCTTGGGCCAAAGGAAAGTACCACACCTAAGGTTAAGTCCATCTCTCAGGGAAGCCCACTTCTGATGACTGGTTCATGTGGGGAGTACAAATGCCCAAATTCCTTTGCCTCAATTTGTGATACCATGAAAGGCCACCTCAGCTCCAGAACCCCCCATGGGATCAACTGTTACCTCCATTTTTACCTTATCAGAGTTCAATCTCTTATTCTGTCCAATCTTGGTTCTCTCCTTTAGAGATTGTTCCCTCAAGCAAGTGACAAACTTCCTGTCCCAAAGGTTTATTTCTTCACCTGTTAAATAGAAATGATGGAATGCCTTCTTTGTAGACTTGTGTTCAGGATTCAATTAGTTAACATACATAAAGTACTTATGGGGCTTCTGGTATATAGGAAAGATTATTTTATCTTTTATTATCAACTAATTAAAACTTATTATAGGAATATACTGAGCAAAATAAGCCACACACAAAAAAAGTGTAAATATTAGATGACTCTAGATTTCAAGAATAGAAAAAAAAAAAATCTGTGATAGGGAAAAAAAAAAATGAGAACGGTGGTTGCATCCAAACACGTGGAGATGTGTCATGAAGGAACTTCGTGGAGTGAGGAGAATGTTCTGTATCTCGCCAGAAGTATAGGTTACAAAAGTAGATGCAGTTGTCAAAATGTATCAAACTATACACTCAACATACGTACATTGAACTGGATGTAGCTCATGCCTCAACTTGATTTATCTGCTAAGTGAAAGAAGCCAGACGTGAAAAGCCATTATTGTACGATTACATTGTATGACATTTAGTAAAAGATGAAACTGTAGAGAAGGAAAACAGATCAGTGGTTTTCAGGGACAAGGAGTAAGGGGAGGTGACTACAAAGGGGCCACTGAAAGGAATTTGAGAGTGATGGAGTTGTTCTCACGTGGCTGTGTTGATGGATACACAACTCTGTGCACTGGCCAAAACCTATAGAACTATGCAGCATAAAGAGTGAGTATTCCTGCAGACTAAAAAAATAGTCCACCAGGTAGCAGAGAGGATGCAAAATAAACTATAATAAATGAGGCTATTACAAATGAATGACATCACAAGAAAGAAAACCAAATTTACTTTGGAAAACTGTATTTTGACAAGAGACATAAGGCTGACTACAAAAAGAACTGTCCAGAAATCCTCTGGTTGAAAATGGTTTTCTCACAATGGTGTGGATTATCCATTGTGAATCTACTTTATATGTATACTAGAGCTGAACAAGTAACTATGTTGTAGATCATGAAAGTAGATTTCTTACTGTCAAAGAGAAATGTTACAAACAAGGAAAGAGAGAAGGCTAGAATAAACACTGGCATTGTATTGTATTGGAATTGGAGGTATCAGTATGAATTCATGCTTTTTGATAGGTGCATGGATAGGTGTGTGTATGTGTGCGCATGCATAGGATAGCGCACTTTTATATGTTTTTAAGGCCGATCAGCTCAGGAGGCCTAGTAGCAATGACAGTCCAGTAGCAATAAGAATATCTATCACCCACTGAGATCTTGGTTTCTAAAATAATATTTTTTAAAAGAAGAACCAGGGCTCTTTGGAGAAATGGGAGCTGTCACAGGGAATATAGAACCTGATCCTAAAATGTCTGAATTTCTTTTAATGGAAAATAAAGTTTGACAAAGAAGAAGCCCCAAAAATTTGCCTAAAAATTCCCCTCAGGTCCTTAAATAACACCAAAGCTGTGCATGTACAGAGGAAGAGTGTAGGAGGCTTAGAAGACAGTAGCTATAGAAAACTGAAGATTGTGCAGAAAATTCAGAGATCACACATGCCAGTAGCCAATGGTTGGTTTCTGGACCCATCTGGAGTGGAATGAGAAAGAGAAAGAGGAAGAAAGAGAGAGAGGGAGAGACAGAAGAAGGAAAGGGAAGAGAAGGGAAGTCAGGAGGGGAAGGGAATGGAAGGGAAAGAAAAAAGAGAGGAAGGAAAGAGGGAGGGAAGGAAAGAAATAAAGAAAAAGAGAAATAAAGAAAAAAAAAGGTTTTTAATTATGCCCCTACAAATGTCACACCCTGACAGTTAGTACTGTGCACTACAAGTAAGGACTGCATTTCAGAAGTCAGTGCAAAACTGAAATAGAGCTTTTAGAGGCTAAAATCTAGGCTTTGTAGGCTCAGCTTGGTCCATTAGTACTATAACTTCCTGCCCCAACCAAACCTCACCTTTAGAGGAAGGCACTCTAATTAAGAGCCTCGACCAAGTGTACTGTTCACAAGATCCAGCCAACAAGAGCACTCGACACCCAAAGTCTGCAGGAGGGTGTTCTCAATTAAGAACATATAAATCAGTAGAAGCAGGCCCAGAGACCAGACATTTGGAGTTCGCAGACAAGGGCTTCAAAATACTTAGGAAAAATATGTTAAGAAAAATGGAAAAGATGTGGGAAAAGTGTAGAAAAAGAAAGACAAGCTGCAAATCTTCAAACCAACTGAAGAAAGGACATGTTGCTTTCAAAGGACACAACAGCAAGACTGATGATTTTTCCAAAGAAACTACGGAAGCAAAAAAAATAACTTCTGACATCCAAAGGATTGAATGGGGGTGGGGTTATGAACTGCCAGTGTAAAATTCAATGACCTAAGAAAAAAATTCTTTGGAAATGCAGAAAATTGAAGATGTGTCCCAACAGAGGTTTAAAAAAGCAAAAGCTGAAATAATTAACAGCAGACCTGTACTTCAAGAAAACCTAAAGAGAGACTTCAGGCTGAAGGAAAATCATTTCACATGAAGACAACTCCAAGAATCAAGATCAGCAGGAAACAAAATGTA